AACAAAAAAGCCCCTCTTTTGGGTTAGTAAAAGGTCAACTTGATTTTGTGTGTCTTCTATAAAGTGTAAGAATCAATGGGAAACAAGTGACCCTTAGAAAAGTTACTGTAGCTTAAACATCTTTTGCCAAGTGCCTTGCTCCTGTCCTTCTCATTCTTGTGTTTAAATTCCTAAGACGTTTGTGCTGGTTACTCTTCGTGCTTCGTGGATCTAGACAACGCAGTCTAACAGGAACCATTAATAAGGGAACAAAATGCATTAAGTGCACAGACCAACTAAAGAATGCTGACAGGGCAAAATAAATGCTGGGAAAGAAAATACACCATACCTGCAGGAGCCCTAACCATGCCATCTCCCAGTCAGTGGGATAATTCTCAGGGCTACCAGGCTACTTTCTGTACCCAGCCTGCAAACGAAAAGCCTGACACGAACTTGGTCTCACAGGTTGTTTCCTAGAAAGCTACTGCTACTATTTACTCTCTCTTTCCTGACAAGGTGTTAACATGGGATGTTGGCAAAATTACCCCTCAGAAGCTACCAAACCTGAAGGGCATAGTGAACCTGCAGTCTGGAGCCCCCAAGCCAGAGGAGAATCCAAGTTTAAATATCCAGTTTAAGATACAGCAGCTTGCAATTTCAGGTGAGTGGGTGGGTGTTATGTGGAATTGGTACTGACGGGATGAGTAGCAGTAGGAAATGAAGTGGGAAACTTAATCTTTTAATTAGAGATGCTGATCTGAAATCAGCTTGGTCCAAAACAGTAAAGTCTGGTTTACCCAAACCTGATAGTTATCCTTGCTGGAAGACTCCCTTGCTGGGAATTGTGAATTCCCAATTGTTTTGCTCAAGAAAGACTGAGAAGTGTACAAAAGAATTTTTCTTTGTTGACTTGTGTGTTAAACATGCAAATTTATCTTTTGAGTGAAGAGTGATGGATGATGATTTAGCCTGCTACCCTTGACTTGCTTTAGCCCTTTCTAGTGGTCAACAAACTCCATTAATTTTAAAGAATGCCCTCCTTACTCTTTCCTTCTGGAGCTGGTTAGATTTTCATCTTCAAAACAATCTGCAAGTAAAATCAGAATGAAGTCTATAGGGTAAGTGCAAAAGTAAACTTAAAGCAAACAAGGCCTCAGTCTGCAAACACTTAAATCATGCAAGTTGTCCATGTATGTGTACAGTGCTTCTGCAAGCAATCTTTGCAGGATTAAGGCCCTAATAGAGCAAAGGCTCAAATTTGGAAAGAAGTAGGATGACTGACGGCAGTAGATGAGAACTGGTGGTAGTACCTCTCTAGGTAGGTGCAAGGCTATGGTCCTTTTGCTTCCTAGGCTACTTCACTAAGTAATGGCTAATCGTTGCATAAGAACAGAATCCTGCAGTTTCCTGTTAAACTTGCAACCCAATAGTTTAAATCTAGCAAAACATAGTGAATCCAGTGGCTGGATGCCAGAGGTAATGGACCTGTGAGAAAGCAGGGGACAACCTGAAACTTCTAAGTAATTAATAGCTACTGGCATGCCTCTGTTAACAGTGGAAGGATTGCTGGTCCTTGCAATTATGATTGAGAGTGAAAAGAATTCTAAAACTTGTCCTTTGCTTCATCTACATTATTGGAAGCAAGTGCAGTGTACAGAAGCTGTGGAAGATACTAATTTGTTCAGTACTTCATCTCTTGAAAGGAGGATGTTGGCTCACTGAGAACAGAAAAAAAAGTTGTTGCCCTGCCAGGGCAGCTACGATTAGATGACAAGAATGGTCTCTCCTGTTGTTTCAAACCAGATGAACTTGTGAAAGGAAGGAAAGTTACCTTCCTGATCTTAACATGCTTCAAGAACGCAGGACTTTTACTGACACGATTTCTAGCATTCTACTCAACTTTCTACTTGTTTTTATCTTTTTCAGGGCTGAAAGTGAATCGCCTGGATATGTATGGAGAAAAATACAAGCCTTTCAAAGGTGTTAAATATATTACAAAAGCAGGAAAATTCCAAGTCAGGACATGAGAAGATGCTCTACTTCCAAGAAGAAAATCCCCTTAAAAAAACTTGACTGCTTAGTGACTTAGGTTGCTATTAATTAGGTGCCAATTAATAGACACTGATTAGTTTGGAATCAAAGCATTTGTGCACAGCAGCTCTTAAAATTGAAGCATAGCTTAGTTTTTTCTTAATATGGCTTTAAAATAAGGTACTTTTTTTCTAATACACCTTCACTCTTTTTTTACTGAATTGTTGTGCTGGTGAATAGTTTGATATAGGTGATCCACAAAATGTTGCAAACACTACACTGCCAGTCAGATACCAAAGCCCAGAGGCCAAGCACATTGTGAAGGCCAGACAGGCCACTGGAGAAGTCTTGTGGCAGCACATTTTGCTGCTTCAGCTGCCTGCAAAGAAAGCTCAGCTATTCTTACAGCCAGCTGCAAGCTGGCATTCCACAAAGCATCTTGTAATCCCCTCAGAAATAGAGAGTAGCAGTGAGAGGGGCAGGGGTCTCACAGGGGCCTGGGCCATAGCAAGTGTCACTCCTGAGAAAGAGCTTCTGATGGAAAAAAAAAAAAAAATCTTGTTGTTTACAAGAAACCGCCTTTCTTAAGAAGCATTTGCCTTAATCAGCTTTCATTTGTGCCATCTACAGATTGGCTGATAAAAATAACATTCTGCATTAAATCTGGGAGGTGATTGTTGCTTCAGTAATCCACTTTCTTTCCATTATATCTCATCATCGCCATCATTTTTTTTAAGAATACAGTTGCAGAGAGTAAGATCTATTTTTTATGTGAAGCCTTTGCTTTGATTTAGATGTTCCACTTGTTCAAAGTGGATGCCACCAGATTTTTTGCCATGTGTACGTTGGAGCGTAGCTTTTTAGATAGCACAATTGAAGTGTCAAGTGTATTTAATGGTTGTGTGCTTTAATGTTATGAAATAAAGGGAACTCTACTGCAAATACATCTTCTCCTGTGAAATGTTCACGCTGTTGTAAACTGTTCATGCTGCTTTTCAACAGGAGACATCTGCTATACAATTAAATGTTGACTATTTGCTACATCTTTACTGAACTTTAACCCTGTGCAGCTATACAAAGTTTAGAAAGGGCATTTAGGAGCATGGCAGATAAACTCCCTTTCATATTTTTTATTTCTAAATGGAGGACAATTAATGTTTAGATTATGACATTGCAAAGACAGAACAGTAATTATGTAAAGCTGACTAAACTTCCTTATATACCAGCATAAGCTTGTTATCTCTGTAAACCAGTGTGTGCTCCACAGTACCTGTCAGGTGTCAAACCATACACTTGGTCTGTACATCGCAGGCTGAGAAACACAAGTTCAGAATTAAGGAAGGGTGGGATACTGGAGAATCTTTATTTCCTTAACCTGTTTGGCTTACAGATTGATGACTAGGTGCTAACTTTGCTTCAGGTAAAGAATATAAACTGAAGTCAATCAGTAGACAAAATTTCAAGTACTGGAACAAAAAATGATCCCATCTGAAAAAAGGGGAAACCCATCTGAACACTGGCAGTAAGCCACTTAGGAAATGAGCATATATTCTCTATTGGTAATTTTAGTAGTGTCACTAGGGTAAAACTTGCCCACAGACAACCATTGTGTATTTCTGAAATTACAGCAGATTAGTGTAAATAAAACAACACTTCTGAGAACCAGCACCTGTAAGCAAGCCTTGCATTTGCACAGACACAACACTGGGTATTAAAAGCTACCAACCTCCTAGTCTACCTTTTCCAACTAGAGAAACATCTGTCAATTCATTACTCATCTTACAGTTCTGCTCTGTGTTTCAGCAGATGGCATCCTTCAGTTACATTAATTTTACTAGAAGGCTTGTCTTCAGATGTAACTGGTAACATCCCAAGCTTCAGTCTGAGTTAGCTGGAGCTGCTCTCTGCATTAGCAGCCTGGAAATGCTGCACATTCTCCTTTCAGAACTGACACCATTATTGATTCCAAACACAATCTAATATCATACTGGCTAGCCTTAATGCCAACACTGCCCTTCAGCACATTACAGAACAAACCTTGTCAACTTTCCGTACCTCAGGCACCAGGGAAGCACTCACAAATCTGCTGTCTTGGGAAGAGATTTGATCCATACTTCACATCACACCACCAGAAGTCACTGTCAACGAGAACTGCACTCACTTGGTAGGAAACCACCCTGAGCATGGAGACGGTTTTCATCAGGAAGTGTTTGTTGTGTGAAGCTTATACATTTTGCTGTAGGTGTGCTGGCTCCCACCATTTTTCCAAACACAGGAAACTCAACTGCAAAATCTGCAAAAGTGGGACTGTGTTCAGATTCTCCCTGCAATAAAAAAATTGCACCAGCACCTGTATGAATAGTACAGCTTAAGAAATTGGAGGATGTCATTCCTGAGGAATTAGTTCTGCCAACTTTTGATCTCCCACTCTCTAGGTGTCCAGTTCTGGGAGTCTCTGAGGTTCTCATCCTCTCTCAGATATGGAAAGAACTGCGTGAGCAGTATGAAATCTGAATTTTACCAATTATTACTAGATTCCAGATGCCTTCCAGCACTGTGGGACCATGTTTGGTCCTACAGCAGCAATAAATGTTGGTTTCACAAAGTCAGAACATTATGTGTGCTGGTAGAAATTTTTAGTGAGAAGTAGTGTTTATAGGAGGTTCCTACTGTGAGGGAGTGAAGGAAACAGGACAGCGATTCCATGCTGACTGCCCTTGCGTTCCATTTGTGAAGTAAACTTCAGATTAATGAGGTGCTGGCCAGAGTAGTAGTAGTTCTCTTATTGACAAGATCAGGCAAATGCCATTTCACATTTTCAGAACCTTGTTCAGTGCTACTACTGATGACCTTCAGGCCTCTGGAAAACTTCTGTTTTCTCCCACTGGACCACAGCTTCCAGTACTTTTAATTACTAGGTTTATCAGCATGAAAAAAGAGAAACAAATTCTTTTAATCTCCTGTTTGAGAAACTTGCACTTTTTTCTGTTCAGAATATGTAGAAAACAACTGTTGCTTTAGTATTTCTGCTGTTTTAGCTTTTTGCTCTTCTTGTTATGGTGTTATCTACTGCTCCATTATCATTAATACTCACAAGCTGACATTTGTACAAATGCATTTTTATTGTTTTAACAGAACCAAAGAAAGGTTGAAAACATTAGACTATACAATACCTTTTGTTTTATAAACAAACTTTTATAGTGGTAAAACATTTCTAAGTGACATTCATGGTCTTTTTCAAATTTTTGCTGCATTTCAGGTCTAAAGACCAATAGAGTTCAAAAAAAGCAGTAACTGCATAAGGTGGACAAATACCTTAGCTTCTACAAAACAGTTCAAGAACTTAGAGCAAACATTCTGGAAGAGTATCAAAGGCAACCATGATTCATAACTTTCCTGCAAACACTCCTCAATGAACAAAAAGTGATCTTTGGCATAAACAATTATATGTTAAAGGCATTAGTAATATTGCATTAATATCAGTCAAGCAACTAAACAGTGATGCTAAAAAAAAAATCTCATGGAGAAGCTGGGGGGGGGAATGTGAGGAGCATTGAAAATACAGAAAAAGACTATTTAGAAAATCCCTTAAAAATAACCTCTACCTACTCAGTGTTATTTACTATTAAATAGAAATTACTACATTACAATTATGTTAAAGATCTGGTAGAAACCAACCAAATGCAAGACATTCACGTTAAGGCTCTGACACCCCTTCCTTCTTCCTGTTCCAGGTAATTGCAGGAAGAAAATACTAAGGAAAGATCTTAAGTACCATATATTTCATAATACCCAAACACAAGGAGTGAATTAAAGACAAACATGCTTTCTCTTGCTAAGGTCAGTTTGAGGCAGATGTATTATAATCAGTTTAACTTCCCTTTTTAGATAACAGTGCAATGAAGCTGGGGGTGGAGGGGAGAAAGTCCAAGTATAGAGTAACTGTTGAAGACAGGTAAAGGACAGCTGATGTTGTGTCTCTCTTCGAGCTGTTCAGACTGGGCAGTTTTTCCCCAAGGGCCCTTCTGTTAAAGGTGTGTTGATCATGCAACGATCTTCAGCAAATTAAGAGGGCAGGGCATTAAGTCAGTGCTGATCTAGGCAGAAGTCTGCAAGTGTGCATAAGTCTGCAAGTGTACAGAGATTAATTCTAAAACAGTAATTCTCCTCTCTGTCAAATGCCAAAAGAGACTATGGAGCAATTAAATGAATGGCAGGTTCAATTACAGAAGGATGAATGCATCCCAAGTCTATTTTAGTAAGGGGGGGTGGAGGGGAGGTGGTGTGGATTTTGGGAGGGGGGGTTTATTGTTGTGGTTTTGTTTGGGGTTTTTTTAAAGATACAGTAACACTTTGTTCATTATATTATTACTTGAACCTGAAAAAAGATTTTGAGCCTCCAAATGTCAAAAACAGTTACAATATCCTGGTATGTTTAGTATATAGGAACCACTGTTTACTGGTAGCCATCAGACTACCTAAAAAGGGTTTCATGTCCCTGCAGTGCCTGGGTTTCAAAAAGCTTATGCATTGTGGAAACATGGGCAGCAAGGCAAAAGGTATATTTTAATTGAATATCTTTATATTTTATTTCCATCTTGAGTGGCTTGAATAACATTAGATGAAGGTAAGAAGAAAAATAACAATAATTGCATATGCTCATTTGGTTTTCAAAAGGCAAGAGCCAGCATGTGGCATTTTCTGGTCCTGGACATGCAGCTAGCTTAAGAGAACCAGGACTTTCAGCTCAATACATTACTGAATTAAGCAAGAAGGAAAGAGCTCCATGATTTCAGGTCTCCAGCCATAAGGCTCAAGCTGTCAACAGTGTGCCACTAACAGCCACTGCAAAACATTTCAGTACAGTACAGGAGTTCTGGAATACCCACCTACAGGGTGACAGTAGGGGGCCAAAGACAGCTCCAGTTTTTGTTAAAAGTACTTTTGCCAGGCAAAAAGCAAAAAAAGTATCATTTCAGACACAGAATTTTAATGCTCAGTTTACAACTGTTCTGCTGCTCCAACCTCCCCACCTTCCATCATTTCTACATGGCTCAAGAACAGCCAGCTAAAATCCTGTTGAAAAGTTGAATGTTGTTATATCAATGATTGTCCCTAAAGAACTGCCAAATAACCACTAGTGTCCTAGACTCTCAATACAAGCTTGAAGTGAGGTCCATGTTTTATATCATCACATGGTAACTACTGGAATATACAGTGCATAAGTGAAATGTGCTTCTGGGAGTACAGAATTCATGAAGAGAATCTTCAAAAGCAAAAAAAAAAAACTGTCTACTGTCAGAAGCAGTTTTGAAGTGTTTGATATCAAATGCATTTTGTAGACATTTGAAATGCATTCTCTTACAGTTTATACCCTTAGAATGGGGCATTAGCATAAGCTAATCTTAAGCTCATGTATACAGCACCTTTTGCTGTTAATATATCTCTTCTGTTTCAAAAAAAAGGCATTTTATGTTACAGAAAACAATGTAGCAAGTGTTTACTGATACCATGGGGTCTTTCTGACCCAGCGAAGAGTGAATCCAGCATCTGTTCGTATCTTAATGGATGCTGCTTCAGCTTCTCTCACCGTTTCCTTCACAGACTGCATGAGATTCTGGGCATTGTGAACCAACATCTCAGTTGCCTATCAAGAAAAAGAAAAAATTCCAATGTATTAGCAAATACCACATTTGGGACAGTAGCATGAAACCCACTGTGCATGAGGGCTCCCAGTACAATCATCTTAAGTCAGTTTACTGCTGACTTAAACTATGAAAAAGTAAATTAAACAACTAGCTTCTAGAATCTGGCAAGTGTGATCCTGACTCAAAACAAGACTTGCCCATTTCTCACAGTGTATTTGTGCAAAATATGAATAAAAGCTTAGTGTCTCAAGGCAGAATCATCTCAGAAGCCAAAGCTGCAGGATTTCCACTGAAAACATGCATTTGGAAGCTAACAGAACTGCAAGACAAGTACTCAAGATGTTACTGGAGAACAAATATTTTCACTAGAATCCACCGGAGGGTGCTACTACTCCTCCAATGTCAAACCTGCTGTAACGGTAGAAGTGAGTTCTTTTCGTTAGCTCATTTTTAAATCAAGGAGATTAATAAATTGTTCATATAAAAGTTTGAATCAGAGTAGCTTTTTGGCTTGAAGGAGTGATGTTCCTCAAACTGTAGCTTTTGAGCCTGAAACCAAGGTGCTATACTAAAATTATCTTCACTGAACAGCTGAGGTAAGCTTCCCCACGTTAAGTTCCCAGAACACGTCTGATAATACACATTGTATTTTTTCCCCATAAAACTCATCAACAATTCCACACTACCATCGATTTTTACACTTCTTACCTGTTCTGACTCTTCATCGCTGATATTAGTTCTGCCCAGCATGGTAGCTTTGACAGTGGAGAGAATTTTCAGTTGTGTACTGATGGTTGGGATTCGCTCACAGACCTAAGGAATGGGGATAAAAAAACCACTTCCCATTATAAACTGGACCAATGCATTATTTACTGTTTCAGAGAAACCTTTTGATTCTGTTTTACTATTAGATAAGGAGTAAGCACAGAAGGGATATTTCAACCTTCAAGACTTTCTGACAAATGTTGGTAGGATACTTGAATCTTATTTTACTTGCTTTGGAAATTTTGGGGACGGAGCCAACATTTTTGTACTCCTCAAGCATCTGCTTGGTTAGGAATGGGATGACATATTTGGCTGAGACTGAAAAACTAAGGAGCATTATACTTCTGCTACTATTCTTTGACACAAAGGAATGAGCAGGTGAAATACAATGCAGTGTAGGCTTAGGACAGAGCAACATTCATAGCACAGTATTTCTCAAAACCTCTTTGGACACCAGCATCTTCCACTCACCTGTAAACAAATCCTGACTTTGCAGAATATACATGGCCCTAGGATCTAAAAACAGACATAGAACTTGACAACATTTTACAAGCCACGGAAGATACACGATTTACTGCCACAACTGCTGTGCTCACTCACACTAAGAGGGGAACAGAGAGAAAAAACATTTACAAATAAACTCATTACCTGCAAGAGGTTTGTTCTAATGCGCTTGTCAGTGCACTGCTTTGCCACCTCTTTGGCTAACCGAGTGACTTCATCTGATGCCTTAGCAATATCCTTCGCACACTGAATAAGGGCACGCTTGTTCCCACTACCTCCTCTCACCAGGCGTGACATCTCTGCCATTAGCAGCGCCATTCGTTTAGCAGCAGCAATGATGTCATTACCCTGAAGAGAACAACACGAGTTAGTGTTCAAGCCAGGACAGAAGCTTCACAGAAGTCAAAACTCAATGGCAATCTACATTTTGGTAGCAACCCTTTCAAGAAGTTAAGGAGGGAAGAACTGTTTGTGAATAGAGAAGAGGTTTCTTCAAGGAACAGGGGACATCTGTACTAATTGTATGTTCCTAACACTCAGGAAAAAAGTTCACTTCAAAACTGGAAAAGAAGTGTTAATGAAAAGTGTTAGTTTGTCCATGGAATGAGAGTTACTGCTCTGCTGGCTAGGTTTTAAGATAAAGCATGTTATTAGCATTTGAAATTTCAGATTTCAAAAAAAAAATTTTTTTTAAATTACTGTGCTAAATAGCTTGTTAAACCAAATAGTGCTAATTGTTAAATAGTGTAGTCATAACAGTTGAGCATAAGATTCAGTGGCATCTGAAACTGAAGCTGTTAAAGCATCAGCTATGCTGCTATAATGCTAGAGGATAAATGCAAAACAGTCTGTAACAGAAAACCTTTGTCACAGGTAATGCAGAAATGAGATGCAAATATTTAAAAAAAAAAAGAACACACCAACTTGTTCCTTGAAAATAAATATTCCTTTTTGACATAATCTCCTCCTTTAAAATAAAGCTTCCAGGAGAGAAGAACATGATAGTTCAAAAGATAACCTAGTGGTATTTCTTACATTAAAATCCAGATTCTTGTACATCAAAATTACAGCCACAGAAATACTTCCAAGAAATATTTGAAACATGTGAATTAAGTATGACCCAAGGAAAACTGTTTCCTACACACTGTTCTAGAGAGAAACCTAGTACAGGAAAAAGCAGACCTAGATGATCAATTGTTAGTAGTCTGTTAGTATACTTAGATTCACCTTTACAAAGTTGTTAGACAAAAGTGAAATATTTTGTGCCATGAAGCATCCCTATTGTGTGGATGAAGTATTAGTAGAGTGAGTTTAAGTATTAGCAGGCTCTTTCTTTGGTATAATTCCACAATTAATGACTGATGAAGTCCGGATCAAAGAGTATACAGCGAGAACCCAACTCAGCAAATGTATTCTCTATCCCTGTGCAAATACTTCATGACTCACTACTAGCAAATTCAAGAAGACATCCCAGATATTTTACAGATATAGGTGACAAAAAGCTGAACTATTCACTACTGTGACCTAATAGCTGAACAGTTTGCTAGTATAACCAGTTAGGATGCAAGTGACATAACAGAAAACTTTTCCAGGTTTTCACATAGGAGGATCAAGAAATTAGGACCAGTGTCATTTATGAAGCCCTCTAACAAGTTATCCAAGCATCAAAACCTGAAAAGGACAAGAACATTTTAAAAGCCCTTTTTATTAAAAGAGTTTAGTATATCTATCTATGCAAATACACACACACACACACATATATACATACACACACCCCTAACCTTTGTTTGTTATGGGACACCAACCTTATTTTTTGCAGCATGCTACAAAAAGTGACCAGTCTTGCAAACATTTGTGCTTAGACAGAAGAGACAGGCTACTTGTGAATGTCTGAACCTCATGTTAGATTTCCACTGATTTCATATAAACACAATCTCAATTCAGCAGCTAACAGCATTCAGCACAGCTTCTTCAAAAAAGAGTTCTCTCAAGACCAGCATTTGCAATACAGCCAAGTGCAAGCCAGCAGACAGTCAGTCCTCTTCAATAAACACTGCCATACAAAGCCATTCCTTGTTGGAAGGTATTGTAATTGATTTCGTCAATGAAGGCAAAGCACAATAGACACGTTAAATGACTTCTTGAATGCTGTATACTCTGCTGTATCTGGAAGTCATTAAGAAACCATTAACCGTGGCTTCCCAGGTAGCCCAAATGAATGGAAAAAGAATGGGGAGTGGGAAGGGAAGACAACCCCTATTAAAATTTGAAAACTGCCATAACAAAGAAGAACAGGTAGATGCAAAGGGAGAGGAAGCCTTTGAATATTAATAAGTGACCCAAATCAAGCTTCAATCCGGCACTGACAAACAGATCTAGCAAACTTGTGAAGCCACTCTCAGTCCTTAAAATGAAGTGCAGACACACTGATTCATTCAGAACGGCGGGGCCCAGCAGGGATCACGAGTGATGCACATGTGTCAGCGTTCCCGATGGCTGGGTGCACACGGATCAGTCCCCGGGAGACTCAGGAGTACCTTACTAGACCACTTGGTTGCTTCCCGATGTAGAGACTGAGCAGCAGCCAGAATGGGCTGGTTAACAGGCTGATTGGTTGGCATTAACAGCAGCTCAGGCTCGTAATCATCTTCAATGTCAGAGGGGAGAGTGAATTCAACATCTGCATCATCCTCCTCATCTATATCTACACCAGCCTCAGCCGCTTCATTAATCACAGTCACATCAGGCTTTGCAGGTGGCAGCAAGGGTGGAGAAACAGGGGACAGTTAGTACAAGAAGCAGAATTTGGTAGAAGAGCATGAACTGAGCTGTTTTAGTGACCAAAACATCCTCTTGGTCTCAGGATCTGAAAAGGCAGCTCTAGGATCAGGTCAGAGGGAGGAGGGGAAGGAATACAAGATTAGCAAAAGGAAACAAACATTTTGCCTGTGAACCAAAATTACCAAAAATACTAAAAAGTTACAATTCAAAGATGGAGCAACATTTTTCATCTGAGCATACAGCTTGTACAGACAGATGCTGACTTGCACAACAACATTTTTCTGGCAAGACAATGGTGAAATGAATGGATTTTCTGTTTCAATGAAAGCCATTTTGACTGCATAGAAGCAGTCACAGCAGCTGATGACTGTGGTATTTGTGCAGCTAGAGAACTTTGTATGGAAGCCTGTTCATATATATGGGATAAGAAGAGCAGGATCACAGAAAAAACAATGACACTGCTTACTGTAGAGTAAAAAAAAAAAGGTGGGATGGGAGACACTGTAGAAGTGAGTATTTAAGTACTGGCAGATAACATGAAAAAGAACAAAGCTGGATTATGAGAAGAGGTGACACTGAATGTTATGAATGCTGTAAATATTACAGTTCTTAAAGACTGAAACAGAATTAGTAGAATAAGAGGATTATGAAGCATATAACTGTTTTGCCACAACATGTTGTATCCATTACCTTCAAAAAAAAGAAAAAAGAGGATTCAAGCAAATATATCATGTTAGGCTAGATCCCAAGGAAGAAGTAAGTGGTAAAATAATAAGGCATTTATAATAAAGCAGTGTTTCAATAGAAAAGTAATCTATGTTTACTAACTGTATTTCTTTGACTAAAGCCAAGTGTGATAAAAGTCAAACTACCCTTAACCAAAACCTATGCATTTTCAACTGTGTTGCTTAAGATATGGGCTTTTTTAGAAAAAATCTACACCAATGAAAACAGACAAGTTTTGGAGGAAATTGGTAACTTTATTATATTATATACTGCCAAATCAACTCATCTTCTATTTAAGTCTTAATCTAATGAAAAATTTAGAAATATGCCTCATTCTCTATCCAAATAAGGGCAAAAGCAGGGAAAGTTAAAGCAATACAGTTTTCAGCTTGTGCTGTCCATGAGAAAAAATCAAGTACATAAAAGCCCAGAATCCACTCAAGTGAAAGAGGAGTTTTTGTAAAGGAGAAAAAAAATTGATTTTAAATCTTACAAGAATGAAGAATGTTATCAACATTTTTAAAAGTACTTGTTCATCTCCTCTATAAGCATAACACATGGTAAAGTACCAGTAGACTGATCTAATTGGGCAAAAAAGCAGAAGACAGTTGATACACAGTCTATTGTTATTTATTATGAGCAAGACCTTAAATTTCTGCTTTCCAGGTCTAACCCGTATTTCTCAGTAGCACTGTCCATCCGTCCCTCTTCCACTCAATAAGTGACTTCAGGGACTACAAAAATGTTTTTAAAACTTCCCCCAAAATTTACTGTCAGAATAACCGTATTCTTACTGGTGAAATGGGATTGTTAAAAAAGCATTAGGAGGACAAATGCTAGGCTAACTTACTGGTTTTAACAGTTGCACTATTTAATTCAGAATGTATATAGTATATATGTAGGTAATTTAGTAAGCATATAGTAAAAGCATTTTATCACCTATGGTGTATTGTTAAGTTCCCATTGTGGGATTCAAACATCCAAACACTTTTAGGGAAGCTGAAATTAAGGCTTTTGGCCTCAAAACTACCTTCTGAGATGACCAGTACATTCCAGTACTATCCCTTTAGTAATATAAATATGTATTTGGTATATCCAGGAGTATGGGGAAGATAGAGCTTTTAAGTTTATGGAAGAGACACTCAAACAGATTTGCAGGACTTTGGTATTTTATCTGTACTTCCAAAACAGGTATTCTTTAAGCACAAAGTGCTGAAGTTGATTGTGTAAGATATTCAAGTTTATCTTCTCATTCACCATTCAATTAGGTGGAGAAAAAAAGTGGAGATTTTACAAAGCAAATTTTGACCTTTAATTTATACCTGCAGAAGCCTAAATCTCAGAAGTTCTTACTCAGTTTCTGCCAGAGGAAAAATGTAGTTCTTTGGGGGATAAAAAAAGGGGGAAAGCAAAGTAGTTATATATATTAGCTTTTATAAGACTGATGAATTCACACTTCTTTGTCATAGCACTGAAATGATGAGGCCTTCATAGCGAGTGTGACTCATTATAAAGAAGCATGAGACCAGGCCATCTATATATGCTCACTTTTTCAATCGTAAACACACCAGATTAACTGTAAAGTAACTTGCAGTTCCTTCCAGAATTAAGACAAACTGGCTCATGATTCCTGCAGCTGGCATCTTCAACATCCATACAAATGTTTCAAAGTTAAACATAGCAATCAGCTTGTCAGCCTAGAAAGGCATAAGTATTAGTGGCTCTCTAGGCAATACTAGCATCAAGGATCACAAACAGCTTAGCATACAAGGCATATTTGTGTTCACAGAGGCATGTTAATAAAGCATTCTAGCAATTCTATTAGAACAGTTGACCCTAGTTCACTCCAAACTTGAAAGGGTTTCTAATTCCTCTTACAGCAGTGTTTTTACTATTTAGTCTATAAAAGACTTGCTCTGTCATTGAGACAATTGACTTTGGACCAAATGCACTGATCCAAAACTAAAGTATTTTTACCACAAGACACATATAACAACTTCTTACCTTGCTAGACCATTTCCGGGCTTCATCATGCAACTGCCTAGCAGCCATCATCATGGGCTGATTAATAGCTTCTCCTGCTTTCTGCTCCGGGAACTCTTCATCCTTTTCTTCAGGTGGTGGTGGTCTGGGTGGGGGAACCTCACCTTCTGGAAGTGGTGGTTTTGGAGGAGCAAGCTCATCAGTCAGCTAAGAAACACAAAAATCTCAGTGCAGTGAGACAGTACACAGATTGAGTAAGGAATGGTGTCATGGCAAGACATGATTGCATGACCTCATGCCTTTCTCCAGTTTTTCAAGTGCATCCTGTTAAACTAAATACCATGTTTTAATTTCTTCTTCTGAAAGCTGGATCGGCATTTTTTAGATTTAAGGCTACTTTTAGGCATGGCTGGCCAGACAATGCATTTTATTTCTAAGGAATAAAAATATACTCAGTAATGCCAGTGACAACTGTGTATTACAAACTATGCTGCACTTACATGAAGCTGCTCAAGGTCAGGAGGAGGAGGGGGAAAATCTGGTTCCTGAGGCTGGAAGGCTTCTCTGACTTTGGCCACAGCTCCCAGAATTCTATATCCAGAATCCAAGAAACTCTTCTGCAAACCTGAACAAAAATCCCATTACCAGTTTAATACTATTCTGTAATATTTAAAACTGCAACACTACCCCAAAAAAGTACTTCTATATACACTTATATTCATTAAAAGAAAAGATGCTTAAAAACTATCAAACTGTTTATAGTGGATTTACATGTTTGAAATGTTAATGTCATATGTAACAGGCATAAAATAAAGCCTAGGATGAGTAAGTCATATCAATAGCCACAGTAATTCGCAAGACAACTTTTAGAATAAAAGAAATTATATAATATTTTCTTATATAAAAGTAGTACTACTGATAACTAGTAACAACTACTTCTAATAAAGATTATGAAATCACATAATTAACTAGAATGCTGAATCCTTTTCCTTTAAACATGCCAAAGGTTTTTGCTTGCACTTTAAGAAAGCAGAATTTAGCAGTTAGTGACATGACCTTGATTTCACCAGTCTGGGATTTTAACTGTACATAATATTTGCATAAAAGGAGATACACAGCTGTACAAGATAAAATGAGCACTACTTAGTTATCTTCAGCTAGTAAAAAATATATTTGAAATCAGCTGACTGAATCCTTACCAGGATCAGAAATGTTTCCTGCCACAGCTTTAGCATCCATTACCATTGGTGATACAGTTTTGCTTAGCTCATCAGAGGCTGCTTTAACAGCCTCCCGGAATTTAGGGTCTTCTGAATTTTCAACCTCCCGTTTTGCTACCAGTAGGATGCGGTTTGCTCGTCTAGCAATGCTGGTGGCACCAGCTACCAGCATCTGAGGTTGAATATTGGCCATCGCAACTTTACATTTATCAAGATCTTTCTTAATAGCCTCTTCTGATGCATCCAACAGAGATTTAGTATCAATGGCTTCATCCACCAACCCTAGAATAAAGTTTGAACACATTAATATTCTAGTTTTATATGTGGAAACAAGATAAAACCAGAAAAGTAAGTATTTCCAAACTGTGGGGAGAGGCAGAAGCAGGCATGGAAATGAGACCAAATGTTAAGTGGTACCTCTATCACAGTAATCGTGCTCAAGCAAGCTCCCACTAATAACACATCCCAAGCTCTTTCTTACTCATCTATGATGGAATGTTGCTTGAGTCAAGAACCATCTTATAGAGCATATGCAGAAGAGATTGCTTCCTCTCACCAACTTTCTTTAAGCATATTCTGTACTTTTTCTACCTCTCCCATTCATTCAAAAGGAAACATTCCTCTTGACTGTGCTTTTACCTAAGGGTGATACATAATGGCAAAGCAGTAAGATTCAAAATACCCACAGTTTCATTATGGGGATGGGGAAGGAGGTAGCACACAGTCAGGAGAACAGCAGACCAGTGCAAAGGATCTGCACTTTGGAAGGACTGAAACATTAAAATGTTTCAGCAAGATTCAGTAGATCAGTAGCTCTGTTTTATTGACTACCTTCATCCAGCTGTTACATAATCTTTAACATTTTCTTACCCCCACTTATTTGTTCTCATTCAACAGGCCAAGATGACACAGAAAAAACCCACAAGTTGCTACAGTGATATACTGCTAGAATAGAAATTGCAATACAAAGTAACAATATTCTGTTTTTTTCACAAAAGAGCTAAAGTGAAATTTCCCCCCTTACAGCTCAAAATTAACACATATGAAGCAAGCTATTTTGTTCATGCTGTAACATACACATACTTCTGGAGCCTGAGAGCACATTCCCACTTCTGTTATTTTTAATTAGTCACTACTCAATGTGTGTTACATCAATCCTGACAGAATGGAGAAAAAAATCCATACTAGCTTGTTAGCCACAATTATGTTCTTCAACAAAAATTCTTACTTTACCTGTCATTTTTTCTACATTATCTATCCATTGGTTTTTCATGGTCTCAAAATGTTCATAAGCGGCTTGATTTCCAGGATTTCTCAGGAGAATACGAGCAGCTGATACTACCTGCCAATGGAAAATGTTTTTAATTATGGAAGTATCAGTATATAACATCACACATGTTCTTGAAAAAGCATTTGTTTTTTCAGGATAGGATGCATAGCTCCTCATTTGGAATACTAGTTCATTAATTCTAATTCAACATCTAGATACTTGAAGATTTACAATGCTTCTGGAATTTGCTAATGAAAGAATACTTTCTTTCTGGAACTTCAGTTACATGTTAATATATCTTAAAACCACTTCTTGAAAGCAATTAAGTACAACACATAGTAGACAACCAAAATTTTAGATAGGAGGGTGATTTCGGAAAAAAAAAGTCATTAAAGAGTATTTTTTTTCACTCACATATTTTACTAAGCCTCAGAGTAACTTTGTTTCAAGGATAAGTCACTAACACTTTTGTCCAAGAGTTGAAGAGTAAGAGATGTCATTTAATCAGTTTGCTCTATTTGTATCACATACACAAATATTTGCCTTTCCCCTTTTCAAAGTGTCAGCACTATGTTCCTTGCTGGTATTAACATCTTTCTCTGAGAACAGAAGCATAAAGAAATTCCACAGAAGTCATCCCCAGCCCTTCAAGACTAAGGAAGCAAACCTGTGGCGTAAGTTCTCTTGCTGATTTCACAGTTGCCTGAATGCCCTCCACAGTAGTTTTATTTGCAGTTCCAACTGCAGCTGCTTTTTCTGCTGTAGCTCCCAGTCTAGCAGCATGGTTTTCAAAGTTTGCTGCTCTTTCATCAAACACCTAATGGTCAGAAGAGAAAACCATTAAAGAAGCCCAAGTTACCTAACAGAATACACAATTTCTTCCAAGTGCCAAATACCAGAGACATCTTCATAACACCCAAATTTCATTCGTCTCTTGTGAGGATACAAGAGGACACGAAAGCTCTGAAGCTGTTTTATTTTTCTAATCTTTACATTACTGGACTTTCTTCTTTACTAACTCATTTGGGCAACAAGGGATACTACCACATCTTATAGCTTTGAGGTATTAAGTACACTAATTCCTGATGACTACTTCTGTAACAAATACCGTGTTAAAACTATTTTACCTCAGAGATTAATCTTTAGCTCAGAGATTAACCTATAATCCAAAAGTAGCTGGGTTTGGAAGATAAATAGGGGATTTTATCGTAAAAATTGAAGCTTCACATTGGAAAAAGAAAATCCCTCCTTCCACATGTCCTTCCTTAGTCATGCAATACACAGAACACTGATCTAAAGCTATCCTGTCATCCAGCTAAATTCCCCAAGGCCTTGGGAATCATTTTGATCATGTTCAAATTAACTAGCTAAACAGAGCTGCCAGACACAGTTTTAGATACTTCATATGCTATCAGTAGCTCTGAAGTACAGGAAGTATTATCCAGCAAGAGAACAGGTTAAATCTGTTGATTAAAATAGTCAAATTCATTCCAAGGTTGATCATCTTAGATAAATGTTGAATTATATAATCCACTAAATAGCATGCCAGTGATTTTTGCACAAAAATTTTTAGCATGCTGAACGCAACATGGTACAAACACCATAGAGAGATATCTTTGCCATTTATGGAGGTCAGGGACAATACAGCTTCCATATATATACAGCACAATTCGTCTCCAAGAGTCCAGAGAGATTTGCATGGCAATCATTATGCTATCAGAATTAATAAGCATGTATCACAGTCTTAAAAAAAAATACCAATTCATTTTTCAGAATACTGATTCATTTTTCAAAATACCAATTCAGGTAACATTAAACAATAACTGAAGCTTCACATGGGAAAAAGACTGTCTGGATATACTTGCCTCATCTCTATTGGGAGCATCAGAAGGAGCAGTGGCTGCTACTGCTAACAATTTAATAGGAGTTGTGGTGTCACTAAAAACATCGGAAACCTCCTGGGTCATTGCCTCTTGCATTCGTGTTTTAAGATCCTTAAAAAAATATATATAATTATTAGTATAGGATACAGAAATATTAAATTTGTAGGGATACAAATCCCATAAAACCTCTTCTTGAAAAAAAAAAATCTCATTACAATGACAGCTATTAAGATAAAATGATCTTAAAAGCATTAAAAGCAATATGAGAAACTTACATACCACTCTGAAGCAGCATCAGAAGCTATGAACAGTATGATTTGAGACCTGGTCCCTCAAATTTGCAATGCTAGGATACTGTTTTCTTTTAAAATTACTTTTGATTTTACTTCTAAATTGTTCATTTGGAATTAATCCCCTGGACATGATATCAAGGCCTTTGTAGAAAGTTTGCTTTAATATCTCAGCTAAACCAACAGGTTTTTTGCTGCACTTTTGTTGTATTGATGCCTCATACAAACAAGCACTTTATCAGAGGAGTGCAAATACTTCAACATATCATGTGCTTCACTGCACAAGAGCAGATTTTTACCTTCAGTGAGTCCTGAAGCTGAGCAGCAACTGCCCTGGCCTGCGGAGATTCTCCCTCCCCTCTTGCTGCGAGGTCAGCTAGCTGAGCAGCCAGTTGGTCTACACGGTCACACTTGGCAAGTAAGTCTTGACGATAAGGTCCCATCATGACATTGGCTAAACGACGACCTTCTGCAACCAGACCCCGAATTGCTGCCTGGCCTACAGTGGAAGAAGTCATGGTGCATTAACATACAGTGGAACAAAAAATTGAAGGCATAAATCGGATGTAACATGAAGTGAGTGAGTGACACTTCAGAATTCCTGGAGTTTTAAGAACACCTTTCAAGATAGTGGAAAGGATCTTCTGCAGTTCATTATTGAGTAATTGCAGTTCAAACCCATACAGAAATTAAACTCTCACCAGTTTCTTTTTGCTTATTACAGCAACTCTGGCTAGACATGCATCCTTTTTAACTAGGGTGGTCTCACAGAAGTTAACCATTACAGCTGACAGCTATTCCTACATAACTGATCTGTTGACTCCAACAGAAAGCATCAGCAAATTCCAAGCACTAACTCATCTCTACATCATTACAAGTCATTAGATGATGAGCAAGAGGGGAAGAAAATCCAAGTAGAAAACAAATGAAAAAGTCAAATACCCTCTCCCAGAATTCCAAAAATCATGGGTAAGATGTGCCAAGTGTCCTGGATGGGGAAGGGGGACAGAAGACCATCTTACAAAGCCTTCACAGTGTGTCAAAAGCTTTTCTGTAAAAAAATTTATTTTTACCATGGGTGATTTCCTTCATGCATTTACAGAAGCTTCCTGTTCTTTCAATTAATACAATAGCATTCTTCTTTTAAAGGAAGTCATTGTATATTAAGTCCTTTAAAGATCTACTGAAGAACCATTTTAAACCAATGCTAACACACAAGTAATCCAAGTTCATAATCAAGTTCAAAATCACTTAGAAGTTGTCACAGGACCTGACTACCCAAGAATCACTCAGCATTGCCACCATCATTTTAGAAAGCTTATTAGTATAGCTAAGTTTGGTGCTGTTGGAATGCCCCAAGATGTTTTGCATAAATCGAGTGCAGCCAAGCAAATACACTTCACACATCAGTTCAGTACTTCAATACATCTTGCCTAGTCTGTTTCTGCCAATTACAAGTACTTTCACCATCACTTAGCTGGGTAATTCATAGTATGACTGCATGTAAATGTTTGTAGCAGCTAACACTACTGAAGTGGTTCTCATGTTTATAAAATAATACATGTTCTACCTTGTTACTTCAAAATTCAGTTTGTGTTGAAGCACTATGTTACAATAACTGCAAACACACATTGTTATTTGTGACATCGTCATTACTACTGCAGAGAATACTGATGTATTTTCACATTATCATAGCACTGAAAATATCAGGACAAATTCTACGAGACATGCTGTCGAGACTGAAGACAGCACATATCTGATTTATATTCTTAATATACCTTTCCTATAAGCACCCTGCCATGTGCCAATGCAATTGAAAGACATTTAAATGAAAAGAATTGTACAGTGACATCATGCTACAACTAGAATTTTATTAAACTGGAAACACTAAAGTCATGGGACAGGCCACATCTTGCATCTCTACACACATTTTTGTCAGATGTATTACTCCAGATTTGATTAAATTCTGTAGTATATATCCAGTGTGAAGAAACTTCAGTTTCTTCAGCAAGCTTTCAGTATGTATGCAAGCTTCATGATTAACTAGGCACTTACACGTTCGTTACCTTTGTTTCTTTCCAATTAAAAATAATAAAAATTAAGTTTAGATTTTGCACTTTTTTGAGCCAATCACCTCACAGGTGTTCAAGAGAAACACCAAAATTAGGAAGGTTTTCAGCCACTGCCAAAACATCTCATGAGACTTATCTACCGCCTTCTCGGTTATCTCATTCTGTGGGAAATTTGCTCATCAGAAAGTGTCAAAATATGGAACTCCACTATTCTTTTTAAAATGTTGCCTATAAATTTGCACTTCACAAGCATCCGAGCTATCAACATCATTAAATCTTTAATTCAAAGATCTGTCATTGGTTATTCACACAACAGAAGTTATCTTGACAGAAAAAGGTGTAAGAAAGAGGTATTAGAGGTTTGCAGTTATACTACTTCTTATATGGTATGTTTCCACTTGTCGTTATCAGTTGCACTGTTCAGTGTAACTGCACTTACTCAGACTTAACTGCTATGGAAGAAATTCACTGAACCCAGTTTTCAAGCTTCATGCACCTACTTGAAATGACATCAGATGTTAAATAAGAAATTTCAGAAAAGGTTTACAATAAGTTCTCAGTGGAGCAATTCCTAAACCATAATTATATGCTTGCTGAGAGCATGCTTGGATTCTCAGATCACCTTTCTCTTTGATTAAGCAGCATTCTCCTCAAACTACTCAGAAATCATACAAGTGGTATTTTTAGATCAGGCTTATGAATGTTTTTCTGCTCTGTGAAGGACTTAATTTGCTGGAGTAGGTAGAAATTAAAATTCAAGATACTATATTTACAAAGTAAGAGCAAGGAGCAGTCTAAAGTTTGTCAGTTCTACAGGACACAGTTTCCTATTCTTCCCCAAAGTTTTCCTTCCAGAGACAAAGAGAATCATAGGCCAGCCTGATTCTATAATACTTCACAAAGAGCTTGTCTATAAACCTCCAGCCACAAACTGCAGGTGTCAGTAAAGAGATCAGTAAAGAGATTCCACGCATCTCAGAAGCAGTAGTTTCAGTAAGTAAAAATTACAAGTTTTACCATAAACTGTGAGGGGAAGAGCACACAAACACTTACCTACTCCCCGATCAGCAACTGTAGGATTGTCTATCCACCTTTGAGCTTGCTCAATCTTGCCCTCCAAATGGACAGCTGCTTTAACTGGCCTAGTATTTGCTACAGCCCTGTTTGTTTTGGACTGCAGATTCTGAAGTGATGTGGCTATTTGCTTAGCCAACGCACGGGCCTCAGGAGAGTCACCTTTCCCGCTAAGGATTAAAAAAAAAAATATAGTCATATAAAGGTCATTTACAGCTAATCCCAAATTCAGCAGGCACACAATGGAAGGTACTTCACCTTTTTAAACAAGGTTAAATTCAACACTCGGGTCTCAGAGCAAATATTGCAGATCTGATATGCATAAATCCCCACCTTTCCTTCTCTGCTGTGGTACCCAGACACTACGTATGTTCAACAGATCACTGAGGTGGGGGAAGGCATGGTACTGTCATCGATAATACTGATATATCTTAGATTTCCCATACTCATGGCTGTCTTATGACCAACTGCAACAATGCCACACATTACAAGCAGAAAAGTAAGCAGCAACAGACCCAAGGCTATATACAAGCTTGAAAAGAGGTAGCACATTAAGACCTGCAGCAGTTAAATCTCAAGTGAAACTTTATTGAAGTGTCTAATGAAGAAAGAAAATTATTCATCTCCATATTTGCATCCGGCCATAGATAAAGATCACAATTTATACAATAACTGTTTCTCTACTTCTGTTCTCAAGCATCCTCTTTGCAAAACCGATATAGAAATACATTTATGAAAGTCATATCTTTTATGTAGTTTGCAATTACAGCTTAGAACACTGGCACTGACTGAAGTGGTAGATGTTCCACGCTGCCATTTAGTAAAATGCTTAGCAAAAACCAGTGATGACATTTTTCTGTATAAACAAATTTAAATTTCACATTCCCTTGTTCCTTTGAAGTGCTTTGACAGTACAAAGGAGCTCACTTTTGTCTTTGGTTTGCTTGTCAAATATTCCGTAGGCAGTAGAAAGAAAATATTTTCTAGGTAATATTTTCTAGTTACTCTTTTTTTTTTTTGAGAAAGATAGCACAAGTTGAGCTTTGGGATAAAATCATTAAGTTGAAGCATTAAAAAACGATACCATGTTTTATAAATTAAAATTTTTAAGTGGATCTTAAAGTTAGCTTCCCCCTGCTGCCCAGAAACTGAGGAATTCTTTGCATTCAATTTTTACTAAATACAGGATAGAAACTCAGAAGTATAAGATGACCATTCCCAGTTCTTGGAAGAAAATATATTCCCCAATTAATCATCAATATTCTAAGTTTGCTCAGCACTTTGAACTGCAAATTAAAATCATTCAAATAATACTGATAAGACTAATACATACTGTCGTCGCAGATCTGACAGCTTAGCTGTCAAAGCAGAGATCTCCCCTAAGGACCGAAGGATATCATCTCTTTCTTTAGGCTCCTCACATAATTCTGCAACTTTCCTTGCTTCAGCCATAATTCCCCGAATATGTTCTTCTCCTTCACTGCCCCCATTAGGATCCGCAAGCCAATTCTTAGCAGAAAGAAGTTGGGTACAAGTGAAGGTAAACAGTAATATTATTTATACAGACTTTTAAACAAAAACAAATGCCAATACAGCTTTCATAAATTTATTTAACATAAAATACTTTCCAAAAGCAATTTCTGTTTATTAAATAGATACCATGAAGTTGCTCTGTTGTCTGGCAGATTTTCTGTTTTGAAAGAAGATGGCAAACTAGATGAAATCTACCAAATATTTCACATTCTCTCTCTCCAACATTTGCCAACAGTATTTTCAGAAGTACAATTTATCTAGTAGCTTTAGAGACTCGTGACCTGACTTTCAGGAAAAAAAAAATGAAAACAGATGCTCTTGTGCACAGTGTGGCACTCTACAGAGCTCTACCTAGAAAGTTTCATTATCATTTCATTTGAAATATACATAATAATGTATATTTTTATTCGTAATTATACACACATACACACATTTAGATAAAGTATATACTGAAGGTTTATTATCTGATGGCCATCACCACTGGGTAATAGGCTGACCATTATGGGAGTTAAAGGATCAACCAAAAGAAAAAGTAGTTTCATTAACATTGCTTTGCTTCTGTCATGAATACAATGTTCTAAATACTGAACTCTACTCCCAAAAAAGAGCCCAAGGAAGTGCTCTGGTTTTACCCACGGGTAAATCTGTGCAGTTTGAAATTCCTCTGCTCTTTTCTGTGACAAGATCAGTTTATGTCTAAATTTAGGGTGTTCCCTCATTTTAATTTCATAACCTTGAAAATTTCAGCAATGCTAAAAAAATTATGAAAAAAGTATCATAAACTGTAGCAAAACTCACCGCACCCTGTAAATCACTGAATTTAAGATTTTTCCAAAGTAAAAGCAATTTAAGATTTTTCCAAAGTAAAAGCAAGTATTTCCTGTGTGTTCTTCCTAAACAAGTAACTGTGCTGTGTTTGGAAACAACTACAATAACTCAGTGTCTAACAGCAGCAATGTAATCATCTTCTGGAGTATTTATTAAGTCATTAGTGGTACCTGAGCAGCATCAATCTTCTTAGCAATTGCCTGCTTAGAGTTTGTCATGGCCTCCAGTTTGCGGGCTGCATTCTCCACTTTTGCAGTGAGCAAATCCAGACCTTGTGACACCTGCTGTGCTTTCTGCATAGCCATGGGTGTAGCACCCTGTCCTCTGCCCAAGACAAAAAGAGCATCACAGATTCAGCTCAGGACTGAAATAAGCTTTTTTTCTAATGAAGAGGAAAAGTTGCTTATGAGCATTCCCAGCAATTATTGCCAGAGGTACAGTATTTAATCATTCTTTTTTTTCTCCCCGAGAAAAAAACTGAGGAGGAACACAGCAGGAAGTGTTAAAACTAAAAACATATTTTCCCCTTTCCAGAATTTGGCATTTAACATCCTCAGAAGAATGAACAAGTTGAAGTGTCACAAAGTAAGGCTATTTGAGGATACAGTTCTATTAAAGTACCAAGGGCAAGGCCTGTTATCTCCTCATTTATAGATTACTGCAAGTCAGTCAGAACCTGCAGGAGTTAATGTCTCACCACACCTAAGTGAAGACTGAAAATCTGAAAGTGAAAATGTCTTAGTGGCCTCTATCAAGTTGACAAAGTAGATTAAAGGTTATGGGCTATTGGTAAGACTTCTTAAAATGGTGAAAAGGATGCTAGCAATACAAATTTACAGGACCGTAAAAAACAATTTGCAGCACTACCACTGTTCAAACTCTTAGGAGTTAAAAGATGGATAGAAAGATTACTTCAAATACATATGCCTGAGAACATTAGATTTGAATAAGAAATCTCATATCCCATTCCAAAATAGCTTAACTACTGGAAAGTTTCTTGAGCATATTAACTTTAAACTACTAACTTTAAAAAGACCAGAGTACGTGGAAGGATGACGAGCATGCTACTGAGATGCTAAGGTGTATTTACACAGTCAGGCCAGAGTCTCAAGAGATGTTTCCTTATACCTTATTTCTCACAGGCTGAGTTGAAGTTATATACATATTAAACCAGCATATAAATGAACTCATTTGTTAGTGAATCTTATTTCTGTCTCTTCCTCCACCTCCAAAAATCTCACACAATACAAAGCTGACACTAGCCCCTGCTTTACAAGAAGTTTAGCCTAATTCTAATACTCTGTGTAAACACTGGTACAAAGAAGCTCTTACATCTCTAAGGTCAATCACAGCTAGAAATCCAAGTAAAAATAAACTAAAACCAGCTTCTCATCCACTACCACTATTACAGCTAATACAGATCACTTTAATGACAATATAAACCAGTATTTCCAAATTTTTGCCTTTTTAGCCTTTATATTACAAACTAACGACTCTTCATGGAAATAAATTATAGAACTATTCCAAGCTTGTGTATGTATTGTTGCAACACTTCAGAGCCTAACAGTCTACAGATTTAAAATTATGTCAGGGAATTTGTTTTTAAGGTAATTCAAAACACAGTTCTGCAAATAATTTTAATTTCCATACTTCCTGCACTTCACTGAAGTTAGAACAGGCACTTATTTTACCTAAAAGCTTTTTTTAAAAAACACCCCAAACAAACAACTCCAAACTTGTATTTCTTTTTCTGACAATTTGAAAGACTCATTAACATTTCAGAGAAAATATTTTATCACAGAAAAATTACCTGTATCCCTAACGGATCACAATAATAGTTTTCTTGGGTTTCTGGTTATGCTGTTTTTGGGGGGTGGGAAGGAGTGTTACAACAAAACAAAGAAACCCATGTTAGAGCACTCTAGCTTAACAACTTACTACATTGCTAAGCAGCTGAAAAATTCCTTATACTCCAGGATATATATATAGTGTTCAAACTATATGGAATGGTATTTAGCTCATTGTCTTTACACCTTCACAAAGGAGTATCATGCTTCCTACTTTCTGGTAAAAGAACAAAATGGCATAGTACCCAACACCAAAACAATACAGCAAATGTAAAGAGACTCATCTGCTGCCTAAAAACAAAACCTCTTAAATTCAAAACACCATTGTGAAAGAATAACCAATTTCTAATGAAGAGGCAGAAAACTGATAAAGGGCTCTGGTTAAATGAAACTCTATGCAAGAAATGCAAATGAAGTTTAGCAGAATTTATCAGTGACTGATAAACAACAACAACTACTGCTTGTGGTCTAACATCTCAATAAACAGCTAAAAACTAGAATACTCATATATGTATTACAGTCACTGGGGTATATCCTCTTTGGAGAACAGACTTAAGTAGAGTTTAAAATTTCATTTCTGACTAATTTGGAGGAAGGTTATGTGTTTGACATTAATCAAGGTCTGAATTATTACCTGAGCAATTTTGCTCATCATGTTATATAATTAAGATTTCACATGTTAAAACATATTACTCTTATCAGAAGAGACTGAAGGAAAAAAGGCAAAACAGAGCTACTTTTACAGGTTAGGAATTAACAACTGCATGTTCAGAAAACCTGTTTCAATAGTACTGGAAAACTGTCCATTTAAAGTAATAGATTTACCTAGCTCGGAGGTCAGCCAGCTGATCAGTCATCTGGCCCAGCGTTTTGCATGTTCCCAGAATCTCTCTGCGTTCCTTGCCTGCACACAGTTCTCCTGCTTTTCCAGCTTCATCAAGGATCTGCCTTATTGCTTGCTCACCAGCATCCCCTAAGATGCAGAGTCAGTTAGTAAAATCAACAAGAAATTCCTTGACATGTAAAATGCTAGTCTCATCATGTCCCACCACATTAACTATATTAGGTTCAGCCGCAAAAATACATTTATCAAAAACTATGAGATATACACCAAATGTGATAATTATAATGGGACAATATTTCTGAAACAATATAGCATAATCTTAATGATCATGTGCCATATTTTTCAAGTCATTTAATCATAGTTATTATAGCTTAATTTCTATTAATATTTCATTTGTAGAATCTGCAACTCAAGCTGAGAAGGGAAAGAGTAATATGGCAAGATTCATATAGCCTTAACCTCAGCCAGTTGCAAATTTGATTTGATTTTGGCTAAAGAAGATGCAAGAACAACATTCCTTTTACTTGCAACCCACCCAGATCCCATAATTATCACGCCCAGTAAATAATGATTTTCTGTTAAGCTCTACAATTATCTTCACATTTGTCCTTAGCTACTGAATTCTTCATATTTTATGTCATTAATTGTCACTGTCAGCGATAGAAGGCTTTGAAAATAACTTTGAGGTTTCTGGAATTAAATGTGGCAAGGAGAATGAGGTCATAACTAGTATAAGCAGAAGCTCCACAGATAACAATTCACTTCTGATGTATATACAACTATTATTTTGGCTTCAATTTTGGAGGAAGCCTTTCCAAGTCCAAATGGAACAGGCCTCTATCTGGTTTTATTTGCTTTAAAGATGCATACAAAGGCAAAACCTTTACATAAGTAAAGGTGACTGTAGTTACAGTATTTATGGCAGATTTTCACGTTAAAAATTTTATGTCAAGACTGAAAGAAAAATGCTTAAAGAGATCGTTTGGCAAATCTAAAGTTACACAAACTTGAAAATACAAAAGAAGGTATTTTAAGTACTAGCAACCACTGAAGTTAAATACTGTTCAATGTAGTTTATGGGGTTTTGTTTTTACTAGTGGACTGCAAAGAAAAAACACTTATGTTATAAAGAGTATACTATTTAGGCAACTGAAAAGAAGCAAAGCTTTCCAGGTCATTTAGACACAACTTGTGAATCTCTAGTATATAAATAAAATAATAAATACAGGCTCCTCCAGAATGATAAACTACGTATGGGTTATTAATTCTTAAAGGCAATTTTGTCTTAAATAACGTAATTATTCAGACTTATTTTTTTAAACATTACCTGGAGGTGCATTTGGATCTCTCAGCCAACTTTTTGCCTGGTTCATCTTTGAATCTATTAAGGCTAAAGCTCTTTTCATGGCTTCAGTATCCTTTACAAAAAAAAAAAACAAACACCAAAATGATTCTCAAAAATCAAAGCATAAATAGTCAACACAGCCAAAGCAGACAGAAGTTCTATAAAGCAGAGTCTACTTACAGAAACACACCCATATAAGCAGCTCAAAACTCATTTTAAAACTAGCATGTCATAATCACTTCTTCCAAATTAAGGCAGACATTTTCATTTCACTCAAAATGCAGAAAATATGCATGCAATTTTAGTGATTTTTCTATTTCTTTATTTTCTAGTGTTTAATTTCTAAAGTCAGAGCTCTAATAAGCATACATCTTGGCGTTAGTTCCATTTTTTTCCTTAATGTACATCAGATCACATAGAAAAGTTGTAACAATAAGATTAAACTTTTCAAAAATGAAAATTGGCCAGTGAATTTTACTGCTTACTTCAGTCTACAAGGATGTACATCTACATTTTTCACTTGCTCTACTGCTTAAAGTCAAACAGCTGCTGTTTGCAGAAAAACAGGCTGCCAGCTAATGCCTGGAATTCTCAAATATGGAATTTAATGTCTTAGGAGACAACCACATGTATTCCCATGTGGTTGTTTTAAACTCAGAACTCCTCTGCCAGGACCATAAGAAAAGCTGCTTCTTTGAATATTATACTGCTATTATCCAGCACCTCTAACCTGAGGAGAAAAAAAACCATCCAGTTCTCATTCCTGTGCATACACTGTTAATTGTTCATGTTTCATCTCTCCACTAGAGGCCAGAAGTTTTCTATCTTACACAAATGGAAAGAAAATGAAACATGTAACTAGTACCTTAAGTAGAAAGTTGGGAAAAAGCCAAAATAGCTTTTTACCACACATCATAGAAATAATCTGAAATGCATTTAACATTCCATAGTATATAGATGATGAAAAGCAGCCTGGCTCTTGCTCTCCAACTGAATTGGACTATCCATGTCCCACTCTTATCAAGAGGAGCCTACTAGCATCAACAATCAGTACGTGGTATAGCATGTGATATCCTGACAACACTAAAGAACTGCTGTGTTTTTGTGGAGTTGTTCACTCTGCATGCTTAGGCTCAAAGATACATCACTGTAAACATTCTGGCATTTTTATTCAGGCTTGTTGGTCTATCAGCTATTCGTAAGGTGCTATAATTCAGCAACCAACTTTCTAAAAGGTCATGCAACAACACTGCTGAATATTTTTAAACAATTATTTTTAAATATTTTGAATCACAGCCTGAAAGAGAGCCCCAAAAGGAATCATTTTCACCTGGATGATCGGTTCTCAAATCTAGAAACTGGGTCTCAGAGCTTAGGTCAGGACATGTCTGAAAAAACTTCTACAGGGTAGGATATGCAGCCAGGGGTGGTGGTGGGCACATTCTTTTAGAAATTATCTTCTCTACAGCTTGAGAATTGTGCATTTAATATATAAGAGACAAGTAAATAATCACTTAAGTATTCAAATGTATATAAAAACTTTCCTAGCTATGAAGGCAGGTGTTACAGTTTTCTATTGTTTTATATATGTGCTGAAGCTACTTCAGTATGGAACTAATGGTCTACTGCAAGCCTATCTATCCAGAAATAATTTGAAACAAAGAACTAACTGAATTTAAAAAGGCAAGAAATGTTGCTTAGTGTATTGATGAGATGATAGGTATTGGATGGCTGAGAAAAGAAGAGTGTTGGGAAAACTAGTTTTGCCCCTCCCTTTTTACTAACACAGGCTTTTGTGTTGTCTGGGCTGCCTGCAGAATTGCAGTTTCAGCAAAATTGTATAGAAGTCTCTGAATCTAAAGTCTTGTATCGGGGGACAAAATCAAGGGTATTCTAGCTTTTACACTCATGATTTTGTAACTGCTAGCACTATCCAAGCAATAATAGAATCCATCTGTCCTATCATATGAAGAATATACGACTGGATAGCTCTGCAGTGTGAATCTTGCTACCTTGTGTGGCCTTTGCACTCACATTTGAAAAATAGTGTTCCGTTCTCCTATTTTTAAAAAAAAAAAAAAAAAAAATTCTAGTGAAATCCTAGTGTAGCCATCAAAGTGTTCCAGGACAACTGCTCTCAAGACACAGATTTCCCATCTTCACAGCTCAAGCTGCCACGGCAAGGAATTCCTCTCAGCTTTAGCCTGATAAGGAGGTGTTGTTTTCACTGCAGTAAGACAAGTAATTTTTAAATAGGAAACCAGAACATATCCTTAACTAGATTTGTTGGTACTGTATGTTTGTTTCTGCCACAGGTGTGTCTGGTGTCAGACACTCTGCAAGCAACAAAGGTATAGCAATCCTGAAATGTCTGAACTTACCTAACAATTCAGGCTATTAAGCAGAAAGAAAAAAGGAGAAATAATCAATTTAAACAAAACAAAGCAACTTGCTCAAGGGTCTTATTGCTTAAAAGTGCCGTGATATTCCTGATTTCTGAAACTGTTTATATGCCTTGTTCCTTCCTAAAGCGCTAAATATGTTTAAAATTTTGCTCTTTGGGATTTGCCAGCATAGTATCAGTTGCAATGAAGAAAAAATCCTACAGCTATCCTGCAAAAAAGTTTCATATAGAGTAGTTTTATCAGCAAAAAACAATTCTTTCCCTCCTCTTCCCACAGCCCCTCTGCTGACCAAAGGAAATTTATTAACAAAAGCAGTACTATTACCTTTCCAGAAGAGATAAACAAGTTAAGTTAAACTGCTAGGTCAACATTGTCTAAAGAGAAAAGAGCAAGCTGGCTTTTTGCAAATCAGTTCCTAAAGTAAATGAGCACTTAATCTACCTTCATGCATCACTTCTGCCACTACCAAGAATATTGAGATTATTCATAGAGCAGATGGTATTGGCACTGCGTTGAAAAGGAGCAAAATAAAACCTACACAATCTCTTGTTGAATATAAAATACAACCTCTGACTCAGTAAAGAGGTCTAGTGTAGCAATATCTGCATTTCATTACCAAAGAAGGCAATGTTGAAGGAAATAGGCAAAGCCAGCCTTCTGGCATAATAGATGGATTAGTCACCACCCAGGGTTCAATCCTGCAAGATACTAGATAATCCTCAGCTTCATACAACTTTTAACTCCCTCAATTTCTGTGGAAATGGAAGATAACTGAATTGAGTATTACCTCAAGTTCATTTAAAAATAAACACTACCAAAAAAAAGCAAGCTAAACTCCCTTGTAAAATTAAGTTCAAGAAAAAGTGGTACAATGCTATGAATGGAAAAAATATACTCTTATTTTTCCCCAAGATTCTGTCAGAGATCAGTATTTTCTCAACATTTCAATTCTAAATCATCATACTATTTAAAAAAATCCACTTCTGGTGGAAGCAAAGATTATTTGCAATCCAGTAACAGTAATGTGCATTTCAGAGTCTAGAAAGACCAAAATAGTTTACAAAAAAAGCCTGCAACTCTGGCTCCATACACTTCTTCATTCTTCACTATCTCTAGGTAGATTTTGTAATAGTTCAATGTATAAACAATTCAACATGGAATAATAAACATAAAATAAATTCCAACATCAACAATAGCATGTACCACACAGGTAAAAATTCAAGGCTGTGCATCCCCAAACACACCTTACTTTGCTCTAGAAAAGCATGGGGAAAAATCTTTCCCTTGAATGCCAGGCACAAAATGCATGCAATAATAATCTCAAGTAGAATTTAAAAAAGCTCCTCCATTTCCCTCCAGAAAAATAATGAGTAAGTCAGTCACTAGATATATATGCAAATACGGGAAAAGGTCTGTAATAGGTGGCCATCAGCAAACTAGTTCCTGCTTCTTCATCCCACTGAATTCTTTGTCATAATTACTTGGTTAATGCTCAGTGCTACAGTTCCAAACTGTCAGCTTATCTTAATTCAAAAAGAAAATACAATTAAGAAGTTCTTAACTCAGAACAGAGTGATACTTTGATTATACTAGTCCACACAACATATTTATGCATTACATACGACCAATATTTTCCATTTGGAAATACTGCTACTACACCGTTTTCTTAATAAAAAAACTTTTATTAATCTGCCTCAATGGGAAGAAGAGTAAGAATTCCCTAAGGCTAAATTGCCAACTTGTTGCAACTTTTTTTTTTTTCCCAGAAAAATTACCAGATTTGTTGTAAAAAAACCCCAAACCTCATATTTTGCAATTAAATAAAAAATAAAGCTGAATTGAAAAAACACATATACAGAACTGAAGTTTTAGGTGCAGACCAAAACAATATGAACCATCTGAACACAAGGAAGGCTGCTGGCAAAATACTACAGAATGGACAAAATTCCTGATTTAATAAAGCTTTCTGGGCATACAGAAAGCTTGCTCCTGCATGACTAGATCCTTTATTTGTTGCTACAGAGACTAGTAACATAAATTAACACAAAAGCATTCAGCAAGAATGTGCTCCAAAATCTTGGGCTAACTCTAATCAGACTCAGAAAGACAGTCTTAATGCGGTTCAGCTCTCAATTATATTCCCTTAGTGACAGCCAATTCTACATATAGCTAGACAGAGCTATTAAGATCCATTTAAAACCTCTGTGTGTATATATACATAAGTATAGTGTCACAGCTGGCACACAAATAAGAAGTTGCACAGCACACAGTCTGCACACAGCACAAAATCCCGCATGCATGCTGTTTTGGTTTTAGTACAAAGTAGAGGTGTAGGGTGTGGAAGAAGGCTTACCTTCTAAAGGTGAAAAAAAGGGTAAGAAACAGGAGAACAAAAACAAAGATGCATAAAGGAGTCATAATAAGGAAGTGATAGTGACAAAATAAATCAAAAGGCAAACTAAGGGTCAAAGTGCCAAACAATATAGGCCAAAGTGATTTTAATGCCTAGATTACATCAATGTTAGATTTTCTGCAAGATTTCATTTGTTAATAAGTCTGGCTTCAGGTCTCTATTTTCTTTAAATATATTTACAGTTACTTGTTGCTCATAGCCCTAACCCTTAAAAAAAAAAAATCAATTTACTTCAAAATATCCCCACAAATTGGCAGGAATTTCAGTTACAAAGCTACATTTACTTCTAAGACCACAACAACACTTACTATTCTGTCAGACCTGCTTTATGTCTGCTAGACATTTCAAGTATCTTCAGTGGGTATCAGTTAAGAGCACCACTAAACTCCAGGTAAGTGGTTGCAGTCACTTACACAGCTTAACACTGAGTTGTAAGGAAACAATACTGCCCATACATTAACTTCACAGACATCATACCCACCCAGAGGCTATTCAGTCTAACATATATTTCACTGAGACAAGGCAAACACTTCAAATTTACTCCCATGTCCAGACTAAAAATGGAGCAGGGGGACAAGGGAGAGAGGTGTTCAAGGAGGGTTCCCCAAAAATTGACTAAAATTTGCACAAAAAATATGACAGCATCATATCTTTTCTAGTAGCATCTAGGAAAAAAGTCTCAGGTAATCTCACTTACAAATGCCTACCTACAAGTCCACTTTAATGTACAGAACAATAACTTTTATACCTAACTTCCCTCTGTCAAATATGATTATGTAGGGTAGATATAGATATCTATATCTATATATAGATATATATATAAAAGAAAAATCCTTCTCTGACAGCAATACACTATATTCCATGATCTCCTAATCATGCCAGAACTAAACTTTGAACAAATCTAAGTCTTCTGTTTGACCATCCAGGTGCAACCACTAGGCCAACTTCAAATGCCACACTTAAAACTCATTGAGAGGGAGCTAATTTTGAAAGATACATTAATATCTCTGAAAATGTTCTTCAATATTAAAGAGATCACATGATGTGATTACATAGTGTTACTGATGCACAAACACATTAACTTGTGTTTTGAGACTGAAATATGTGTATAACATAGTAGATAAAAATTAGATTTCTATATACAAATGTAGGTGTGAAATGTACCTTGCTTGCCCAGGCATCTTCATCCCAGGAAGTGAGTTGTAATACACGGATTATTTCATTTATCTCAGCACTCATTTTCTCTACTGTGAAATTGCGATTTTTCAAAGCCTCTTCTATTCCCTGGCTTTTAGAATTTTTTGTGGTTACAAAAATCTTCATAGCTATGAAAATACCACAGATTAGAAAATGGTACATGCAAAATATGATCAGTGCTTAAGGTAATCTCCTACTGCATTTATATGGAGGTAATACATTTTCTTTTGTATGGATCATTTTATCTCAAAGAGATTGTAGTCCTACTACAAGTAGCACAGTTATTTTCAATGAGTACAGGAGCAATGTCATGAGTGGCTTTTTAATAAACATAAAACATTGGAAATCCCCTTCAAAATAGAGTGATATTAAAAGTTAAAGCCAAAAATACCTGAAATAAGTACTGGTAATAGCTCCTTCACAGTATTCATGGAGTTTACCAGCATAACTCTATGTTCCTGATGAGTTAATTCCTGTTGTCTCTCATCAATCATTTTGGCCATCTTTGTCATTCCTAAAGATTAAAGTAATTGAACATAGTCATAAATGAACATAGTCATACATAAACATACTATTAAGTCTAATTTGCAACAGTTGAGCTTTCTAAATAAGAACAAAGTATAATGAATTATGACAATTATTCTGACATTTAAAACAATGTTTATATTAGCAGCTGTTACTTAAAACACATTCCAGATGCTTCAAAGAAGCTACTGATTCAAAACAGCCACTAAGCAAAGCAGAATGGACTCTTCAAAATTCTTGATTTAAAGCCCCAACAGTAAAATAGGCAAATACCTCAAATGACTACTTTAGGACATGAAGTCACATAATTAGCTTCCAGAGTTCATGCACAGGGTTTTTTTCTCCTTTTCTGTTAAGACTTAATCAAAGCCTTAAGTGTGAATGGCAGAAAAAACAAACATCAGGGGTTGTTTGTTTGCCTTGAGGTTCTACCAGAGTTCATAAATTGTATTTATTTGTAGTTCAGTTCTGCTAGAAATGTTTCACTGTTCTAGAAGTGTGGAAAGAATTAAATTTAGTCTAGAACAAATCTATTTACAGTAGCTAAGACTTGTGAGGTTTAGCAGATAGCACACGTGAAAACTTCAGACAGAGCTTCATAAAAATTTAAGCTGATTTAAATTGGTACTGTTGTGATCCTACTCTCTCTCCTACAGGAGATAAAACTGGAAGAAAGCTCTATACTCTCTGGCTGAATTACTTTTCTGCTGGTTAGCATCATAATATAACAAAAAGGTTAAATGAGCTTTAATGACAATACTGAGAAGTAGTAGAATCCTCACACTGACAGCATAGAGGAGTAAATTGTGCAGAACCACTTTTTCTTTCAAATACAAAAGCCTAAATAGATGTTCACGTTCTCCCCTCTACTTCCAACATAAAACCTATAAGCACTTTGTTGATTTGAAGTGTACATACTCATATTCCTGTTATTTATATAGTGCTCACATTAAGTTTAGAAGCCTGTTGATACAGCTGAAGGGAACAAGGACCAGAGGCATATAAAGTTTTGTGGGCCTGGGCATTTACCTTGGAGAAAGACAATCCTTCTAGAGCATTCCAGAAGCACAAGATTAGCTATTTATTCAGAACACCATGAGTTTAGAGAAGATTATTTGCAATAAAGTACAAGCCTACATCTCATTCTAAAAAATTGTTACTGAGCCAAACAGAGTAAACTGAAGTTTGGGGAAACTTCCACTTTAAAGACATGGAAGACAATGACCACAGAGAAACTGAAATTGTATATACCAAGTCAAAGAACAAGTTTCACGGAAAGAGAAGATTGCCCTTTCTGCTTCACCTTTTCCTGTTCTAAATGAGGCAAAATCTATTTAGTTGAAGGTAACTTCTCAGAGGACATAAAAGAAGTTCAGAGAACACTATACCTTCACATGAAACTTAAGTTTTTCACATCCAAAAACAGGGTGAAGTATACACATGTTAAAAAACCCAAAATAATCTACAAACATGCTCTGTGACATTACAACTGCTAGTCATTTCATTTATGAGCTAGTTATTCTTACTCTACGTATGTATTCTTATTTATATATAAAGTACTAACTGGACTCCTGCTCTGTTTATATAAGCATTCCTTAGTGTAACTTCACTTCCAACATCTTCCTATATTACCACCACCACATCTAGATCTTATAGAACGTTTTTGTTAAATTCCTAAACAACTTTATGATTGCTGAAAGTAAAGCATTAGAGTAGTAGATGACAGATTAATGGCAGTTTTCCACTATAGCATCCCAGTGTTTCACTTACCAATCACTTACTTCCACCAGTGTAAGTGTGAGTTAACACAGCAAAGTAACAAGTAGTGAAGGAGCATCAAATAACAAACAAAAGAATTTCTGTAACACATGGACTTTTGTATTATACTGCAAGACATCTACTTCTGCAACCTCATTAAGATGCTAATATATGATATGTAGCTTATACTATTCCAGGAAATTCCTACTAGGCCTAACCATCTCAGTACAGATGTTTTACCAGCTTAATGGACTTCATAGCTGTGAGTGCTTAATTACACAGCTTTTACAGGTTTTTTGTATTACTAGCACATGCTTACTTCCCTCACATAATATAGTGTAGGAAAAGTAAAGTACATATCATCTACCAACATCTTGACTCTTCTGCATTCTTACAAGAGAATGTGAACCAGAAAAGCATCATCATTGGCCCTCTAGTTTGAAACTGTTTCAAACAGACACTTTCAAAGCAACTGCTTTATCATTGTCCAAACACTCAAAACTTGGGTGAAGAAGGCGCTGGAGTGAAAAAGAGGTAGTGGAAAAGACTATAATTAGTATGTTTATGATATGCTGTAGCAAATCAAACCTGGCCCTAGATTCTTTGTGTATGTCACCAAATCCTCCATAGTCTCTACTACTTCCGCCACAGTCAGATATTCCAATATTCCTTTGCAGACACGGATGATTTTACGGACCTAAAAAAGGAACATTCCATCATTTATTAGCTGAAGCTAAGCTACACTTGAATTAGAAATGCAAGCCTATTATTAGAACAGGTATAGCATTTGCTAACATGATGTATGGGCAAACACAAAGGTTATTGATTATGTTACCTACAATGCCATTACTCACAAGTGCTGTATTGACAAAGACAATATTTAATCGGCATATCACTACTCAGAAATGCAAAATCCTACTTCCAGTGTTTTCATTTTGTTTGATAAATGAAGGATAGCATTGAGAAAACAGGTTACGAGGAAGTGCATTTAAGTATGCTGGCATGCTTGAAGTTTTTAATTGCAATTTCAGCAATTAAAATATTTAACTTAAATCACAAAGCACAACTACATAAAGCAGACTCCAAACTTCCCGGGGAACTATTATTCACCATACAGCTTTACATATGGAGAAAGCATTATCCAGCATTCCGGTGGGAAAGGTTGATCCAACATGTTAAGCTTTCCAGAAAAAAAATCAGTGAAGACTGTACTTTATTTACCTCTGGACATCTGCCACAGCTTAACTTTTTCAGTTCATACTTGATTCCAAAACATTCTCTGTCAGTTAATCTTCTACCCTCCTGAACCATATTATTTCTGACAACACCACATACAATTCTCATTAAAGAATGAGCTAATTAACATTTAATTCCTAACAATTATATGCAGTGTTCAGCGCCTAGAACAGATCATAGTATACTCTAAATGTTATTTCAGTTTTGTCCCAATGTTAGTTTATCTTGAAACATAGTAGGATAGAGACATGCCAACTTTGTATTTGTGAAAAGTCAATTATTCCAGACTAATATTTTTCTTCTGGTTAACATGCAGTCATCAGACTAGTTCAATGAAGCATTAAGTCTTCAAAAGTCAACTAATTTCCTAAACACTGGAAGCAGGGAGATTAAAAGCTATTCCCTTCCTTGCAATTCTATCCTATAACACTTGTAGTACCTATTAAAAACTACTTAAAATAATGAGTTATCAGAAGTGCCATGGAGAAATCCCATAGCATTATCTTCATTTCAGAGAAACATGCTAACAGTACTGTGAGCTGATTAAATGAGAGACAAGGATGCCATATTAAGACTACTCAGAACAGCAGGAAGAGCAACACAGTTTCATAGATTAACAGACTGTTGCAGACATAAAATTTGAAATTAACATCAGCATTTCTTCACAGTAGCATGATATTTGCTATTTAGAAATAAGAAAGACTCCCAGAAAGAGGATCACAAAAGTAAGATTTCTAACAAAGAAATATTTTCAAGTGTAAGACACTCAAACCCCCTTTTTAAGTCTTCTTGCAACTCCGGCTTTTTTGTCCATCTTTAGATGGACAAACAGCATCTCTGAACCACTTTTTGGCTTGTGCAGCAGCCAAAATGTAGCAGTTAGATCTATCAGAACTCATCTTCTAGCTGACCAGCCAGACAGTCCAAATTTGTATTACCTTCCATGCCCCAAGGACAATTAAGTTGCCAGGGCTAATGAGTCAGACAGACCTGTTAGGAAGTGGCCTACAGCTTTTCAGTGAAGGGGTACAGAGAATACAAGGATCAGTAATGGGTACAGTGAAGGGAACACAGGAAAATGTCAGGAAGATGTAAGACAGGGATGATGGGATCTGGACTTTTTGAGGAATAATCGCAGGCAATGACTAAACATTATGTCATACAAAGATGCTCGTAACAAAACAGAGCAACAAGCCTAAACTCCTTCTGACAGAAAGAAATGCAAAAATATCTTTCAGTCAAGCTAAAATGATCAAAACCCCATTCATCTGCTCAATAGTTTAGAATACCTAATTCAGTTAGGTGGGTATTTGAATTAATCATACCACTGTGCAGATACCTATGTCAGTCATGTTGGGATTCCTACCTCTGCTTCATCAAATGTCAGGAGTAAGTCTGATGTTCCAGAAAGGATGCCTCTTGATCCATCAATTAGATAGTCACGAGCTGGTACTGAATAAGGATCTGCTTGCAGCATCTGGGCTGCTCGAACAAGTTTGGTGCAGGCATTCTCCACTCTGTGGAAGGTCAACAGGCAAAACTTGCCAATTAGTTTCTGTCCATATGACAGACTTGAGAAAACATTAGATTTGTTTTTAACTTTACTACTTAAAGCACTGCAAGCAAACTGATCATTATAAACCTTTATAGTTTAAAAGTAGAAGTATTTAGTGTATTTATTTTAACAAGAAACTGTACAACACATTTTCAGAAGTCATGCAATCTTCCAGTGTAGGCAATGTTTGAAGTAATCAGTACAGTCAATACAATGTCATTAAGGAAAGGCCCCAACATGGCAAAACACCTTTCATTCTTAATGACAAGGGCAGGGGACAAAACAAATATTCTTTTAGGACTCTACAGTCAAAGCAGTTGTTAAACTATCAGCCTTGTATTTGCATTGTCATCCAAGAACCAATTGCTACTAATAAATATTAAATGATAGATACACATTAAGACAAAAGAACATAGTATTAAGAAAACTAAGACACAGGGCCCTGCTCATTGAAGCTGTAGTCCTGTTCTTCAGGGTGTTAACACAACATTAACAGCATTTTAAATAGCCACAAAATTCAGTGATATGGTATGAATTTCAAATGCTGCTTGCAATTCCAGACTTAAAAAAAAGATGTGAGGTTTTGCAAGATATTACAGTGTGTAATTACAGTAACACAGAAGGTACTACAATAAGCAAATGAACTCTGAAATTAGGTTCCATCAAGCCATTTAACAATCAACTTTCAAATATTAAGAACTGGAACACTGAAAAGCTTTAGGATTTATTCTATTGTAATTACTTCATAACAGCTTAGAGAAACACAAAATTCAGACTTCACTTCTGTGTAGCTGTGCTACTTGCAACTGTAGTTACTGTCTACACTTACTGTGACTTTCCTCCATTCTCTCCTATTTCTTTGACAGAAATAAGTGTAGCCTAAAACATGTGAATGCTATGTGCTCATTCAAGTTACAGGAGGTTCCAACAAACATTAAACCGTTTTATTACAACACTACTACATTTTATCACAACTTTTTCATGCCTGTCATATAGCCTATTTTTTACTGATCACCTGAACATACTCTTTTATACTTTCAGTTAAGTACTATTGGAAAGTTACACAGTTATCCCATTTTCTCCCCTACGTTCCTTGTTAACACAAATGGCAGAACTTAATGGTTACATCGAAATTTAACTGTAAAAGAAATAAAGACACTCATTACAAGAAAACATACTCTTTTCAGAAAGTAAAGTTTTCACCTAATGGCTCCCTAGGGTAGACTGAATTAGGCCAGCTGACCCTATCATAACCCACTCTTTAGTGAGACATCTACTCAGGACATCAGACAGTGGTAACTCATAACCGAGTAAGAAATACAGGAGGACTTCAAGGCAGAAAGTGAGAATGGTCTGCTCATTACTATGCAATGTACTTAGTTGTATTATCACAGTCAATTGACTTCAGTAAATTAGATTTCCACACTTGCTTCTCAAATTTATTCCTTTCAACTCTGCCAAGAAAGGGATTAACTAATCACCTATTCAGTCAGCTCAGAGCTATAGGCTCAGAAATACTTAATTTCCTACAGTTCGATTTCATGGTCATCTGTTTATTGCTAGTAATTAACTCAAGACTGGCTTTTTCATTCGTAAAGAAAAGAAATAACATAAATGTGTATTACCCCAGAAGCCACCATAAGTAACAAAAATGTTTCTAAAGATTCAAAGTTTTCTTTTACAGTTTTTGGAGTTGAACCTCCAAAAAGGTAAAGTTGCATTTTAATTCTACAAAGTCTATTTTGTATAAACTTCAACGCATTTGGAAGACTTCAGGAGTGTGCACTATGTACAAAAAAGCAGAGTGGTGTTTAAGAATCAGACACCCTACATCCCCCGCTAGGAAACAAAATATTAGAATACGGGGGACAAAAGTAATTCAATTAATTTAAAAAAGCAAAACGAAGAAAAAAATATTTACTGAAACGAACCACTTATTCCATCACAAGAATCAGAAGTTTTTCATAGAAGTACATTGCCATGGTGAATTTTCTAATCCCTGTATGATATCGCAACCTAAAAAAAACCCCCAGCTTTATAATAAAATTAGTTTTGAGGCATGATTATAATAAAGCTAAGTTAACACCAGCCAAATTCTTTTTGGAAAAGACACAGGTCATGATATTTCAAACCATACTACTTATGGTAGTCAACCAGCTTTGTTTCTGTTAGTGCTCCTTACAAAACATGTGAGGAAAAAGTTTAGCTTATGCTAAACTACCATTTTAGGTTTTACCTTTTAGGATTGACCTCTGCTTTTCCCAGAAACGGTTGCCCAAAAATGCCAGACAATGTCTTTGATGTTTGAATAATGGTCATTTCAATTCCTAATCACTTAAGTTATAGTGAGCACTTCCATTACAGTTTAGATTACTTGCAGTTCCAGCAACAGAAATTAAAAAGCAAGTATTTTACATATTAACTTATTAATACAGTTACCAGCAATGCAGCTCCAGCTTGGCAACCAAAATAATGTTAATATAGAATAGCACTGATAATACATAATAATACAGAATAATAGCACTGATAATACATAATAATACAGAATAATACTGCTTGATTTGTCAAATGAGTTTGTGTGTACAAATTAAATGCAGACAAATTTTTATTCTCAGTGTAAACAAATCAGGTGTCACCCTATTCATTGCCTAGAGATTACAGTTCTTTCCTTCTTTATAAGAGAAGTATAGCAAGTAATATGAACACATTGCAAAACATCTGATGTAAGTTACATGCATTACTCATACTCCCTAGTGATTAGACAATGAAGATAAACACAGCATTTTTAACTCTAGGTCAATAGTTCCAATGTGGTTTATGTCAGTAGCAAGCAGAGGGATGCATGATAGTTTCTCAGCAGCCAGCAAACTATTTTGCTACACAACCAAACTCCTACTGAAAAACTTTACAGATTACCATCGTATATATTCATTATGAACCCTCAGTGCCAGTCTCAGGCAAACCAAAACCCAAGTCTTTGGAAAGAATAAGCAGATGTTCTCTCTCATCCTCCAAGTATGGTTCCCTCAAGACTGGTGGTGCTTTTGAATGGACAAAACAAGCACAAGGAATGCAGTGCTAGCACATGAACATTGCTCCTTACCCCATCATCCATGTGCCAGTACAAGTTCTGCCCGAGCACTCCCTTAAAGAGGAATGCCAATTCTTAAACTAACACTTCAGAAACAAAAAAGGTTTGGAATATTTTTTCCTTTTCCTCTCAGGAAAGAAAAAGACAATCCTCATCTCTTTCACTTTCAGCATCCAAATCCTGTCCTTCAAGGCAGGAAAAGGTAAGACTCCCTTGGCAGCTCACCTGTGACTGTCACTTGTCTCTACAACACAAAGATATCAGTGACAATACACTCCATAGTGTTAACAAGGAACTGTTAATATGTACTAGTTCATTTTGATATAAACTCCAGATTAACAAAAACAACAAATGCAATAAGTTATCATTCATAAAGGCTACTGAACATTCCTAACTCACATTACTGCATCTAGGATAGTAAATACTGTGTAAAGTAGGTTTGATTACTGTGACAGTTTTGTTTCCCATTTTTCATTATATCACAATTCAAGCACTCATGAATTGCTGCAGAAAGAGTTCTTGGACCCAGCATAAAGTGGTACTATTCATAAGTGCTTGTATCACATTGTTACAGTAATTTAGCAGATTGTGTCCACTTAAATAGTTAAGTGTTGATCAAAGGCTGATTACAGATTAGCAATTAACAAAATCTCTTATCCTTAATCCCTTAGTTGTCCAGGTGAACAATTAGCTAATTAACTAGAAACTTTATACCTCCTAGAAAATGAATACAATCAAAATAACATGTTTGTATACAACTCATCAAGAAATAAGAAAAAAGTTTAGGCTCATTTCAATACATAAACACTCCCCTCAAAAAAAAAAAAAAAAATCAAACCCCTCTACACTCTTAACAAGATCACACACCAGGAACACAGCATAATAAACTCTGTAATGGATTGTATCAAAGGCCCATTTAGCTCAGCATCCTGTCTCCAAAAGTAGCTGCAAGGAGATGCCTAATGAAGGTTAAGAACAGGATAAGCATTTATCAAGCTTCCTCTGGACACTCTTCCATCCTCTATTTTAAGTTCTTGGGATTTCCTGCAGTTTGTCTATTTGATAACCCACAATGGATTCCTCTAAGTACTTATCTATTAACCTCCAAACCTATATAAAAAATTTTAACAGTACATGACTTGTTGTATGAAAAGGCACTCTCTATTCTTGGTTTATAAACTACTAGCTTAAAGCAATGCCCCCACCAAGCTGTAGCACAGGAAGAAAAGAACAAGTTTATATCTTCTCCATGCAACTCATACTCCCTTAGACATTTGTCAGGGCCTCAATCCCCTCTATCACCTACCCCAGGCTGAAAAGATCCAGCCTACTTACCTTTGCTTTATAGAGAAGCAATGCCATACCTTTGTTCTAAGTCCTTCTATGAGCTTTTCCAGTTCTAGTACAGCCTTTCTAAAACTTAGGGACCAAGGTGTGGGAGGAAAAATATAAAATGACATTTTGGTCTCTTATTCGTTGATGATAAACCTAACATTTGGTTTACTTTTTGACCACTACTGAGCAGATGATGGATGTTCTCACCAATCTATCACAGCTCCAAGACCTTGCTCACTATTGGTAATTCTAAGTTCAGAGTCAGTCATCGTATCCAACACTAGACCTGTTGCTCTCCCACAAGTACGTTTTAGAACTTTTAAAATAACATCATCCACACTTAATACCAAGTCACTCAGTTTAATAAGGTCCAGCTGTAATTTCTCAGAGTCATCCACTAATTTCACTACCCTGTGTAAGATAGGTCATCAGCAAGTACTTTTGCCTCACAGTTCACATCCTGGTTTCTAGCACACTTGTGAACATGGTGAAAGCACAATCCCAGCAGAGATCTCTACAGCCCTACTGATTACAATGCCACCAGGGTTAATCATGTAATTTTTCCTTTCACTTTCAATTTTCTCTTTTCCATACAAGAACTTTTCTTATTACATCGTGGCTACTTAATTTTCTTAAAAGCTTTGCCAAAAAGTTCAGAAATCAGTGTATACTGTATCACTTGGATTACCCTTATCCCTGTTTGTGATATTTCTAAAAACACCAACAGATTTATAAGGCAGAACTTCTCTCCACAAGAACACTGTCAGTTCACCCAAAGCAAATCATATGTATTTGTGATCTGTTAATTCTATTCTCTAGTGTAGAATTTCTAGCCATTTGGTCCAAAGATGTCAGACCTATAGACCTCCTTTCCCGAGATTCCCCTAGAAAGTTTCTCAGGCAGTAGCTTCACCTTGATTGACATCCTGGATGGTCTCAAGTGAAAGACTGTACTTCACCAATAATTCAGTTGTTTCATTCTTGAACTCTTATGCTAATACCACTTGATTCTAGGCTTTTTTTTAATTATTCATTTTGTCAACCTACAGTGCAACAAACTAAATCCTTTTCACTGCCTAACAAATTTTCTCTTTAAACATCTGTGTTATCCATTTTAGTATTTTCTTAGTTGCCTCAAGACTTTCTTGTTTTGACTATCTTCCTGTTTGGGAATACAGTAAAATATTTAGTCATTCTATATACATTGGACATCACTAATTACATTCAGTAGGTTGCAGGGCAAAGTCACTTCAGTGAAAGTTTGTCAGTTGGCAGTAAGAAGCTTGGCAATTCCACAACAAGAAGTGATGTATGATTTTTAAGACTTAAGGCAGCAGAAGAAAGTCAGTTGTCCTTGACACTGAGCCATGGAATTAAGGGTATCAGTCACTGTTCTTCAAATGTCTTAGATTTTCAGGCAGCTGTATCATGCATCAGCTGCCTACACTAACAAATTCACACTCTTCCACCAACAAAATTAATAGAAAAGATTGAGAACACCACATTATCTCTAACACTGTTAGGCAAAACTACAACAGCACATAGATAAGTATCATTGTGACTCTGATTTTTTATTTTTACTTATGTACCCGCATATACAGAATGTAACAGAAAAAGTCACTGCTGGCAGAAAGGTCATTCCTAACAAAGGTCAGCCTCAAGACCGCGAAGAGCTAACCAAACATAAGTGAATTTTCTAATCTCTGCAGCAGAACTAAGTGACAATGATCTAGCATTGGAATAGGTTTCTTGTACCTACAGTAGAAGATTTATAATAAAATGAGTTTACTTGATAAATGCTGGTGGCATATCCCTTTTCAAGATCTGGTCTTCTGTTGTCTGCACGGTCTCTTTTCCAACCTGCAGGAGAAAGATGTCATACTTAAGATTCAGAATTTCACTGTAAAGCCTAGAAAAAACACAAAATAGCAACAAAAAAACGTATTTGTACTACTGACAATTTCTTTCACTAGGTTTGCTGGTATTTTATTTTTGAGACCAATACACTGTGGTTAGCCTAATGCTTTAGAAATCATACGCTGTTTCCAGCCAACATCTCTACTAAATTAACCAGTGTGGGACACAGACTTTTTACTCTTCCCACTCTCCCTAGAAACAATACTGTTTGCTGCACGTAGTTGTAAAAACTTAATCACCATGAACTCTGTAGGCTTCACTCCCTCCTACTCCACATAAATCAGAAATCAAGTTCAAAGTTTAAAAACAAAAAAATTACCTCCTTTTTGCTATTAAAATTACAAAAATTTAGTTAATTACTGAGAATACACCCCACATTCACATCATAATTACTGAGAATACACCCCACATTCACATCATTCTTTAAGCAAAAATAATTATGCAGAAGCTAATAAAGAAAGAGATAGAGTAAGATCTAGACTTTTCGACACACTAGCTCTTATGTTATACAATAGAAGTCTTTATAATTGGTAGCTGGCTCTCTGAACTGTGAGATCACCAACTTGACAAAATATTTCCAGCTCCTTTGTTCACTGTATTTTCCAGCTGAATAAGCTATTCAGGAAGGCATCACAAAGCAGAAGGTCTTTAACCCAGACACTAGTTTGTGTTAAGAAATGCCAGGCCTGCTCAAGCTAGACAAGATAGCCCTGAAAATGCCTCATCAGCTGGTGTTTAAAGACTTGCTGATTTTTGACAGAAGTTGTAGTGAGCCTGTATGCACAGCACTTGCCAATTCTAGCCCTGTACAGCCTTCCAAGAAGCACCATTTCCTTTCAAGTTTACACTGCTTGCCAAAAACTGTGTCTCCCTATTCTGGTCCTTTTCAGAAGAGCTTTACAGAAAGAGATTGGCCTTAGTATTTTATTCGGTTCAGAGTCAGCCTATCCTACTTTTTTTTTTTAAAAAAAAAAAAAAATCTATTATTACTAGACTTACAAGTAGTCACACAGATATTTATAAGCAAAGAAGGGAAGAGCAGTGAGGAGGTTAAAAGTCTTCAATTTTATGATAGGTTTCTGTCTCATATGTTCATTGTAGGCTCACTAACAATGTGCTGGGTTTGCATAGTGGAGTTTTTGGTAGCAGGGGAAGGGGTTATAGTGGTGGTCCCTGTGAAAAGCTTCTCAAAAGCTCCCCTGGCCCCAAGTCAGACCCATCTCTGGCCAAGGCTGAGCCAATTGCAATGGTGGCTGCGCATCTACAATAACATATTTAAGAAGGGGAACCTGAGAGGGTGTTAGTACTTGTGGGGAGGTGTTACAAGAAGGACACCCATGGGAACACCATGGTCAGCAGAAGGAAGGAGGTGGAAGAGGGGGACATGCGCTAGAGCAGAGTTCCCCTGTATCCTGTGGTGGGACAGCAGGGCCACTCCCCTGCTGCCACCCATGGAAGTCACCAGAGGAGCAGAGATTCACCCATGGCCTGTGGAGGACCTCTGAAACTCTGTGGGAAGAAGCAGCCCCCCCCCTGTTGCATTCCTCCCAGTGCTGAACTACAACACATGGAGATGACCTACATCAGCTCATCTTGAGAAGAATGCATGCTATGGGGAAGATTCACAATGGAGAAAGTTTGTGGCTGACTGTCACCCACGGGAGGGATGCCACATGGAACAGGGTAAAGAATGCAGACAAAGTGGTTCCCCCCAGTCCTGAAGGAAGAAGTGGCAGACTGACTGCACCCTGCCTCCCCTACCCCTGTGCTGCTGCAGAGGTAGAAATATCAGGAAGAAAACTGAACCTGGGAAGAAGGGAGGGGTGGGGAAGAGGTGTTTTTAAGATATGGTAACACTTCTCCCTGTCCCATCCAATGTGTTGTGTCATTATCGTTAGTGTTCTGAATTAAAGTGATGTCCTTTTTCTTCCCCTAAGGAGTCTGTCTTTCACCTGTGAGAGGTTGCCTTTTAACGGGTGAGAGACCCCTCCATGTCCTTATCTCTATTCCTGAGCCTTTCAATTCTTTTTTCTTGTTTCCAGCGCTGCTGGGGGCTGGGTGGGAAGGGGTGAGTGAAGGCTGCCTGGTGTTCAGTTGCCCTCTGGGCTCAAACCACCACAAGAGCCATGCACCATAGTGCACAGCACAGCAGTGTTGCTTTGACACCTAAACTCCACAGCAATGCCTCAGGTGCAATGTCTTAGAAATGTATCTCATACCAAATTTCTTAGGACAGGGTTACATGACCCACCCTGACTCCTTTGTTATAATTATTTCCATTGCACTCATGAAACACATCCTTTATATTTCTCACCTGTTTGTATGCACACATGTATGATAAAGATGGCCCAGAAGTAATTTGCAAAAGCTTTGGATTACACATGGTTCAGACAGAAGGCTGTCACCAGGTGAAAATGCAGAGTAATACTTCATTTCCAAAGAACTATGCCTTCAAGATTTGCTTCTTACAGCTGTACCAATCTGCATATAGTTCAGTATATTAAGTATATTTCTGAGGATATACAGTTTTTAAATAATGCATGAGAAAGTTTAGAATTACCTTCAAATTGAAGCTACCCTCTTGTAACCATCATTATTGGTATATTGAACAGAAGCAACTAAGGACCAATGTCTGCCAAAGTTACACCACATCAAGTGTAAATTACTTCAAGTTTTATTCAACCATACAAAAAGCATTGCTTCATTCAGTCTGGAAAGCATGAGAATCTAGGTTCACTACTCCAGGAAACATTATCAAGTAATTATAGATCTATGCACACTTTATATATACAAATACATATATAGACATTCTCTGCTATGGCTACCTAGTCTCTTTAGTCTTCAAATGAAAGCAACATACAGGACATGGGTCAACTTCCATTTTAATTTTTTATGGGGGAGTTTTAATTTCAACACTGTCCTAAACTCTGAAGACATTTCTCTTCAAAGTCCAATAAAGCAGAAATACTCATTCCTCCAATACCCTCAGCACTATATAGCATGCAGACAGGACTCAAGATTTCAGGCAGATCCCATGAGGCTTTGTGTTGGGTTTGGTAGCAGGGGACAGGGCTACAGCCATGGCCCCTGTGAGAAGCTTCTCAAAAGCTCCCCTGGCTCCAAGTCAGACCCACGTCTGGCCAAGGCTGGGCCAATTAGTGACCATGGCTACACCTGTGATAATGTATTGATGAAGGGGAACCTCAGAGGAAACATTGGAGTTGCAAGGGAGACACCCATGCAAACACCAAGGTCAGTGGAGGCCAAGGGAGAGGTTTACCAGAGCAGAAACATCCTTGCAGCCCACAGTGAGAGGGGGCAGGCTGTGCCCCTGCAGCCCATGGAGGTCCACAGCAGAGCAGATGCCCATCTGCAGCCCATGGAAGACCCCACACCAGAGCAGGTGGCTGCATCCAAAGGCAGCCAGGACTGAGGGAAGACTGCTGGGACAGTTCATTGCTAGGAGGGTTGCAGACCCTGAGAGGCACCCATACTGGAGCAGTTTTTAAAGATCTGCAGCCCATGGGAAGTCCTTATGCCAAAGGAAGTTCAAGGACTGTCTCCCATGAGAGGGACCTCACTCTGGAGCCAGGGAGGAGTTCCCCCCCTGAGGAAGGAAGAGCAGCAGAAACAACAGGTGATGAACTGACCACAACCTACCCCCACTGGTGCAGGGGATGGTGGAGTTAGAGAAAGTAGGAGCAAAACTGAACCTGGGAAGAAGGAAGGGGTGGGGGGAAGGTGTTTAAGATGTGGTTACACTGCTCACTGTCCTACTGTTAATTTAAGTGGTGGTGGTGGTGTTTAAATTACATTGATGTTCTTTTTCTTCCCCTAACAAGTTTGTCATTTATCCATGACCATAACAGGTGAATCATCCCTCTCTCTCCTTATCTCCATTCCTGAAGTTTTGTTTTATTTTCTCCCTCTGGGCTCAAACCAGGACAGGCCTCAATTAAAGAAGTCCCATATCTTTCTAGAAAGAAAGAAAAAAAAAAAAAAAAAAAGACTTTATAGTATTTTAAGCACCAGTACAGCATACACTCACTGAATCTGTTTAAATATAAAATCAAAATCTTGTGGATCAAAGGAAAGCATTTCATATTTACATGGCTACTAATTAACCTTTCCAGAAGTTGCTCTGTGCATTTGTAGCCAAGGTATAGAGATGGCATGTAAAGAACAAATGTACTCCACATACCATTCATCAGACAAAGTCTCAAAACATGAAGCCACATTGATGCCTAAAAATACACAACCACAAAAGAGTTTTGTGGGTTTTCCTTTTTAGCTTTGTGGTTAGGGGGGTTTTGTTTCTTGCTTTGTTTTAATAAGATACTCTTTCTTCAGACTGAATTTTACATGGCCTACACAATTTTTAGACACACAGCTGTGTAACACAAGGTAGAGCGTCACTCAACTCTACCTTCTTTATACTCCAGTATCAAGGGAATTAAGTTTTTTTTCCTTAAAATGTAATATCTACACATACCCCATTCAAGCAGAAGGCTTGTCGAGCTCCATGCTAATACAGAACAATTATCCGTGAAACCTGTATTTTATTTCTATCCAACAGTATACATGGGGAAAAAACCTTAGGTTTCAGATACTCTTACCTCCTAAAAAAATCTTGCCCTAGTTAACTGGGAAGCAACAATCTCCATCAAATAGAAGCTTCTGCTTTTAAGTAATACTGAAGTGGCCATTATTCAAGGTTCCTCAGAAACTGCACTGATTACTACAGTAAAGAGACCATAACTTCTTGAACACTGTACCTGCCCAGAGCAACACAAAATAAGGGAAACTCTCAAGCAAAACTTACCAAGACCATTTCATAGTTACAACGTCCACCCACCCATATTTATTTCCATACTCTTTAAAGGGGATACTAGAGGTAAATTAGCTGAATAAAGAATGAGCTACTTTCCTGCTTGCTCCCTGCTACTCAGAGAACAAGAAGCAGACAAGTCTTGAAATATAAAGAAAATGGGGGACACAAGTCAGAGGGCATATATGGTCTCTGAAAAGCCTTCTAGGAATGCAGCTGAAAGAACCAGGAGATGACAGATTTCCTGCTGCTTTTAGCTTTTAACTTTGTTTATAAGTCTTTCTTATGCACTCTTGTCTGCCAAGGATCAGTAAAAGATCAGGATGTTTTAAGCTTCTTGCTGGGGAGTATTTTCTCCCTAGAAAAGCAAGAGGAAGCTTTCTGATCAGGCTGAGGTTTTTCCTTGTCACCAGTTTTACAACTTTTTGTCATACCTGCTCCATTTCCTGTCTTCTTAGCCTGCTGGACATAGCAAAGAACAACTGTTCAGTGAAAAGAAATAGTTTCAGCTTCTGTAATTCACTGTTTAAATAGACACACAAACATCCAATAATATCTAGTTCTCTTAACATCTAGATGTTTGAAAGTACAGACTGTATGTATCAGAATAAACCATGCAAATATATAACATGGGAGTCCAAAGTTTATTGTTTGGAGGTGGGTTCATTTGTTTGGGGTTTTTTTTAAACACAGATTTTTCTAAATGCCTATATTGACAATACCAATTTGACAAATGCTGAAGTGTAATTTTCCATGCATAGGATTTCCCCGGTTAAAAAGGAAGATGATCTTAGAATTATTTCTTACAGTGTTCCAGAAACTAATTTAAAACATCTGTCATTTTAGCAAGGAGCCTAAAAAATACTCACATAATCATCCAGTGAACACATACAGCTCAAGCTGTAACACTAGCAGAGCCCCAGGTTTCCCCCAAGAAATAAGCTACGGTATGAGGTTTTCATGACAAATCAAAGTACCAAAGTGATACAGTCTGTAGCCTGTAAAAGTGACTTTACCATAAGCCATTTCCCATTAAAATCCAGTTGCTGGTTTATGCATTCTTCCATGTTTTGCAAGCTTCCAGGAAGAATAGTGACATGACAATGAATGTTAAATCTCACATCAAAAATTTGTTATACATCAGTGCAGTTCCATAAAGTTCTCTGCAGCTTCCTTCTCTATTTCTTTAGACGTTTGTCCTGAAAAAATTAACTTAAGTATGTGCTGTAACTCTGCAAATGACAACAGCTTCCACAATGCATATCCATGTCTAGAATCCATCTCTAAACAGAATTGCCAGTTCTTTTCCCCAACCCCACTTTTTAAGAAAGCAAAACTGGCCTAGATTTCAAGACTGAACAATCCATCAAGCAGAGCTAGAAGCAAGCCAAAGTTATACTGAATTTATGCCTATTCCTTGCTGGCATGGATGATGTACATTTGCAGTCTAGACTAAAAAAATAATAATACATGAACAGAGAATTAAATCTTCATGAAAGCATTTTGAATTCAGGTTACATACTATGGGGCATTGCTCACCCATGACAATAGAAGGAAAATCATGACTGAAGTAAATGATACACAGCTGTGTAGCCTACACCTTTTTATAGAGTTCATCCCTACCCACAGGGCTTGTCCATTGAAGTTGCTAGAAAGCAGGTCCTTTATCTCAAACTGAGTTCAGAGACAGTTGTCTCAGTGGGCTCAAACATAGGAATGGCTCAATAACTACTTCACAGTTATTTCATTTTCCCTTTGTGAAACCAGTCATTGGAGCCAAATTACACAGAAGGAAAAGAGCTCTGACAGCCAACGAAACAAAAAAATCAGAATTAGCCATTTACCTTCATCATTGTCAGTCACAGTACTTTGATTGCAACCCATGTTCTGCCTTTATTTGCAGTACCTAGTAGGTCCAGTCGTTGGTATTTCAAGCTCTTTCACTAGCCCTTTTAGAAATACAACTTCTGGAGTCAATGTTGTTTTATCATGCCCTGACCCTTAGCCACCATAATCCATGTGGTAAACCTTAGCAAAACAGAACTGCATATACACTGGCATAGCAGCAAAGCATAAAACTTTGCCAAATACAAGACAAACAACTTTGGGGTACATCATGAAATGTCTTAGTCCCACCTCAATTTCATAAGTCACATGAATGATCATCAGATGACAAACAGCTTCCAGTAAAGACAGAACTTTCTGCACACTGTGACAGAAAAAGCAAGCAATGTTAAAGTGTTTTTAGGAAAAAAAAAATCCAAGAGAACAAGTGTACAGACCACTCATCACAATCTAATCCTTCTCATTCGATAAAACTGAAAAAAGTCAGTTATAACAAGGTACCACTTGGGGGTTTTTAAACACAAAATTTTGTTTTTACTTCAAAGGCCCTTTCAGAAGCATTTAGCAAATAAAATTTCCATTTTTTTCATCATTCCACTCTCATCTTGCTTTAAATTCAAAATATGATAAGTCACTTGGAATTAGTGAGTTTAACACTGGTTTAAGTTCTTCTAGTACTATGCAGGGGAATAGGCCAATGCAATTAAGAGACTGAAAAATAAGTCCAAAGAAATACACAGCTGAATTGTCTTCCTCCTTTTAGTTTAGTGAGCAATGCACATATACTACCAGTGACATCAGTCAACAAGACCACTATTCCTTCAAGCCAGGTATGAACTTAGAGACTGATGAATCGGAGCCTATCCACTTTGCCTTTCAGTTAATATGGAAGCTATATACTGGCTTCTGGTTTTCTCATGATTACCCTGGAGACTGCATTCCAGGCATAGCAAGGTACAATTTCAAAGTCATCTGGCAGTAAATCAAGTAAATTAGAACACTCCAGCCATCTGGTCTCTAATAGCAGCAAACTGATCTACCTGTCTACACTGGCAATTAAGACAAATTCAATTGGCTTGAGGCTAGGGAAATCCTGCTGTCCAAGTAAAATACGTAACTATGAAACAAGAACCATATGGAAACCGAAAAATTACATCATTTGGGTATCAAAAGACATTTATTTATGCTGATAATGTCTACTAACTCTGTTATCAGTACAGAGCTGAGGCTTGGATGGTTTAGCTAATTGCAGGATGCACAACTTAAAGGAAACAAAAGCATATACTGATGATGTGAGAATTTTTACAGAACTATTATAATTTGGAAGTTAATTCTTTAATCAAGAAACTTTCTTCTTATAAACCAGTACTCCAGAGTTAAAACTATTTTAAGACATTGTAACTCCATTGCAGTCAAGCAAGTCAACTCTGACCTTTGAGCATACACAAAACTCACCTGGAAAAATCATATACAGCAATTATCCTCTACAAATTAGATTCACAGCTTCAACTATTTACTTTTACCTTACAAGGAAGTGGAAGAAAGATTTCTTTCCAGATACAGATTCTCACAGGCCACTCTGCTGCATTTCTAGTATAGGTAAATATTGTACTGCACAGTCTCTAAACCAACCCAAGCTGTAGCTTCACATCAGTAGTAACAGACTTCCTCCCCAGGCTGGTTTTTTCCTTCATCAGAATTACAAACTAAGTTAATTGTGGCCTCTGTAATAATACTATTAAATTGGTATTTCACTTATCCATGTGTTGGCACAGAAAATACTCAAGTTGCTGAAGAAAGAAGACAAAATTAATACCTATGCTGTTACTTCCTGAGTAAGTTTCAGATGCAGAATATTAGTGAAGTTTCTCCCTCTCAAGGTTCTAAGGTATCTGGCTAATCAAGTGCAAGGCAGATGTACATTATAAATGACTTAATTACAAAATCCATTGCTACTTTTTATAACCCATTTTACTTTTTGAAAACGCTGCTAATTTGACAGGTGTTAACTACAAGAAGCATTTTAATATACCACAACTAAAACTGTAGGTTGGCTACCAGGCACTGAATTTTAGTATCTTCTATTTGTTATATGCAAACTTGGACTGACTTCTGAAGACCACAGTTCAACACTGATTTTTCCCTCTCCCACAGAGAAAAAGGGCAGCACCCCTTACAAGCTCCCTCCTAGAGCATCAGTGGTTTCACAGTAACAGAATTATTTTCCTAAGTTTAAGACAGCAACAGTTTCCTGCAGTAAGACAAAATTTATAAACATGAGAAGGAAGAAGGAACACCTTTGATAGCAGGGAGGAGAAATACCAATCATTGATTTTTAAGACACAACAAATCAGAATAAGTTCTGACTTTCAGCACCTGCTAGGGGCAATGCATTTAGCAGTAGATAAAGGAAAGAATACTCCCCCCCCCACCATTTTCATGACCCTGCTTTTTAATATGTTCTAAATGTAACTATTTTGCCAAAGACACTGTCATAACACTATCCTTCATTCTAAACAATCCTGAAATTTTTACGATTCCCACCACGTCTTCCCATGACACTGTTTCAAGTTACTGACTTGTTCTCATCTGCCTGTCATCTGTGCTGGCTTATTTATCTGCAGCCTTGTCAAGCAAGTATCTATTTCCATTACCTTGATGGGTTACAAAAACTAAATGGGTTTAGTGCTAAACAAAGTACTGAGGCAGAGAAGGAATTTACATAAGAGATGCTACCTTAATCTATTCACTTAAATCAATCGCAAATGCAGAGTTCTCTCTCTCATTGACTTTGCTTAATCCTTGTGATTCCCCTCGAGGGAAACATACTCATTTAAAATTTCCTTTATTGATAAAGTAATACTTTTCAATGAGCTTTAAATATTATATTAAAATTATCTTCATGTGTTCACTAATATATGGTTGAAGTAACAGAAATTCACAGCATTGATCTTTTGGCATAAACACAGTAAATGTTTCTTCACCAGCACAATATGTACTAACACAGTATATTATTATAGTGATTGTCCACCTTCTGTAGCATATTGGACAATTTGTCTCATTTTACTTGACTAACAGTTAATTCAAGTGTACAATAAGTTAATGGTGTAAATCGTTGCTCACATGTTAAATGTGATGTTTTAATTAGCTACAACAGTATCCAGTTACATTAAACAGAAAAAGGACTAGAAATGGTGGGCTGTTTTCCAAGGAACAGTGCTCATTTTACAGCACCATTAAAAAAAAAACAAACAACCTTGTGTCAGAAACTTGAAATTATGTTATTGTTTTCCAGCCTGATTTTGCCTTCAGTGCTTCTGACCACTTGTACCAGCTCTGCAAGTAATTCAGCATGTAGAAGACAACCCACTTATGTGCAGTCATCACAATGAATTTGTAAACTGTTACAAAGCAGCCACGCAACAGAAGTAACTGATAGATAATAATTAAAAAAATAAATAATCAAAGAAATGTCTGATCTGGTATTAGTTCTGAGTTCTTTTACTGTAATTCATTAGTATTTTAGAACTCCATTGTGCCAGGCACTGTACAAATACGTATCATCCATAACAACATTTAACAGCAGATCATTGCTGAGTCACATTAGAAGAATGTTGACAAATGAACTCCTCATTAGAAAAAGGATATTAAGTGCCACCAACACTTGATAGTATGTAATTGCTACCACTTTGAGGAGTTATAGGTACCATTTCTAACTGTTAAAACCCTTTTAGGAGTTTAATAAAAATGAGTGAAAAATCCTTTAAGTCTTTGTAAGGTAAACACATTTAGAGAGCAAGTTCCTTCATACTTGCTATAAGAATGTGGTTGAAAAGAGAAACAGCAGTATTGCTACAAGTTTTAGCAGTATTGCTAAAAGCATCTCCTATAACAGGAAGCTACACTCTTTTCCAACATTTTGTCCTATCTAAGGAAGCTGGCTCCAAATTTAAAAGCAATGGAACAGAAGAGAACCACTCTTCTGAGCAGCCATTATACTATAGTAAACAGGCATACAAGTTTTTGGCCAGCTAACAAGCAAACTGGAAAAAACATCTGAAGAAAGGAATTGCAGTCAACTGTGAAAGCAGAAGCTATATGCATCAAGTTCACAAACCGTTTCACAGCTTCCATTCACTTCCTCCACTGCCACACAGTATCAAGGTTAGTTATCAGCATCACCAAAATATTTAAAACTAGTAAGCCATGTGCAGGGAAGTTTGCTTTTTGCAAGACAAAAACCTGCAAGACAACTATGTGAAAATCTGCCACAACAGCTAAACAACAACTCTTTGTAGCAGTCAGTAACTGCTTCAAGGGTTGCAAAGTCTCTTTAGCATTTCACTATCCTGAATAATTGGATAAAAGGTCAGATTCCAACTGCTCCCCCTCCCCCTCAAAAAATGTCACAGCAAAATTTTTATGCCACAGATTAGCTTCCAATTGAGAGATAAACCACTTTATATTCTATACCTTTGAACTACAATAATCACTGATATCAAGATGGGAAGAGGAAAAAAATCCTATCAGCCAAAAAATACATTCCTTTCTGTTGCATGGGGGGGTAGAGTGCACCTGGCTGCTCTGGCAGCTCCAAGTGTCAGTGGAGTCTAGTCAGAGAGATAAGGAATGCAGGTTTTCTCCAGCATTAACTTCAGAGAAATAAAAGAAATGTCATGCTACTACTTTTCCCCATCAGAGAATGACTGAAGTCAAGCTGAAACCTACCTAAAATTTAGTGAGGTTCTCACTCCCCACCCCTTTATTTTTTTGGAGAAAAAGGGAACTTCTTATAAGTGCAGCAAGAAATCAAGCAGCACTTTTCCATTTGCTACAGTTAAGTCAGTAGTTTTTTGGCAGTTACCTCCCCTTAACAATTCTGGTTTTTCGTCATTGTATCAGGGCAAGCTAAATAAAAAGTGACCTTTTTGCTACTATTCTGGAGTTTGAGAGAAACCCCATTTGATTATTTCTGTTATTCAGCACAACTATTATGCTCTAAAAAGCTGCAGAGACTGCTAGGCTTGTGAAAGTGATTT